GTCTCCTAACCTCTTTTCCCTGCTCCTCTCAGTACAAGAAGAATTCCTATGGTGTCCATCCTTACTACATGGGGCTAGAGGAGGATGGCAATGCCCACGGAGTCCTCCTGCTGAACAGCAATGCCATGGGTAGGATGAACCTGTGTCCCTTATTGTTTGCTAATGATTCTGGAATTGTTTATGTAATTTGCTATAGCTGTCACTATTGAAAAAATTACAATCTTTGTGAATTGGTTTTCCCTTTCCTTGACCATTTATGTATATTTTAATTATATAAAATTTCCCCAACCATTTTCTCTAATGCAGCTAGTGAGAGCTTTCCTTTAACATTTTCAATTCTAGATGCACCTACTCCTGAATGTGTGCTGCCAGGGTCTTCAAATTGAAGAGAGAGAGAGAAAGTGGGGATTCCAGGGTTAATGTTCTCAAATGAAGTGTTTCAGTTACATTTTCATGTGTTTTCAGATGTGACATTCCAACCCCTGCCTGCACTAACATACAGAACCACAGGGGGCATTCTGGACTTCTATGTGTTCTTGGGCCCAACTCCAGAGCTTGTCACTCAGCAATACACAGAGGTAGGAAGGAATGCGTTTATGAAGTGTGTGTGTGTGTGTGTGTATATACACTCATAATGTGTTCCAATCCTGCCATACAGGATTGCCATATTATAATGTGACTCTCTTATGGTCCCTGAATTTGATGGTCTTTCTCAGAAATTATAATATGGAATATGGGAGAGTAGATATATTCTTAGAACAACTAAATTATTTTCCCCACTTATTGCAGTGCATAAATTATTGTGGTAACTATTGGTGAGTCTGGTGTGGTGCGGAGCTGTGGTAGTAGAGATCTTGGTGATGTGGTGAGGGATGCTGGTCTAGACTTTAGTGGCAGTATCATTTGTGAAAGTGATTGTGAGGATGGAGACAGTTATGGTGAAAAGGGTAGAGAGGAAGATAGGACATAAGGTGAACATGAAAGTGACTGAGTGGAGTTGGTATTGGGAGCTGAGAGAGTAAGGTCATGATGGTGACAGTCTTGGCAGATACGATAGTTTTGGTAGCAGTAGTGTTGGTAATGATGATTATGCGGTGGCAATGAGAATTATCATGAGGGTAAATATTGCATCATGACATTGTCACCGTGGTTACAGTGCAGTGACTGAGACAGTGACTGTTGTTCTGCTGCTGGTGGTGGTGGGTGTCATGGTGTTGGGAATAGTATCATTGTTGGTGACATCAACAAACATGTATGAAATATTACTTAATGCAAGTGAGAGTGTGTCACACATACTAAGTTACTCAGTCAGAACAAGAGGAGATAACTCCTACTCTTAGTTCTGATTTACAGGTAAAGAAACAAGCACAGGCATATCACATACCTGCCCAAGGTCACACAATCAGCAAGACTGTACTCCAAGTTATTTCCCTTGGTGTTGTGTGTTTTTAGCATCTCAATTATATCTCTAGGCATCTGAATAAAATCAGGATTTCCAGCATCCCTGAAACATGTGCTCTGGGAAGCTGCAGACTTTCTGTAGTTACCTCAGAATCTCTATTTGCCCCTCCTATTATTTTCTGGGTTTGAATTTGGTGTCTAATTTGGGTCAAATGTACTGATTTCATATCTAGTTACCAATCAACTTCTCCTCTAACATTCTAACACTTTCTTTCTGTTTTCTAGTTGATTGGTCGGCCAGTGATGGTACCTTACTGGTCCCTGGGATTCCAGCTGTGTCGCTATGGATATGAGAATGACACTGAGATCGCCAGCTTGTATGATGAGATGGTGGCTAAGCAGATCCCCTATGTATGTGCATCTGTTGAGGATTTGTTTGTCAGATTTAAGTGTGGTTTTCAAATGTTATACTGTGCTTTCTCGTGTCACACTGAGCCTAGACCATCCATAGTGATTCAGGGAAGACCACTGCCCTCATAACAGTGGTGGCTTAGAATAACAAGGAGGAGCTAAGCCTGGTTCATGGGTGCTGCCTCCTCTACCAGGCTTTCCTCTGCTTCTTGACTGACTTCAAGATATTTATATGTGGTGTCCTTACTGACATGTTAATAAAATATCACTCCATATTAATTTTAATTGGTTAAGCTAACTTGACCCAAACTCAGCTAATCCATTCCCTATGAGGACTGCTTTCTTCGGCCTGGCCCAGCACAATGAATGCTCCCTGAGCTCTGAGCTTCTCACTGACTCCAGGCTGGAATCCTGTGTTAAGCTTATAGTAGAATCACTTACAGAAACAGCCACATTTACTCAAAACCAGAGGTCCAACAATAAGAAATCATGTCGTTGTCCTTTGTGTTTGTCTCGGACATATTATTCTAGGTTTCATTAGTGCAAAGTACTTCCTGCAACACAGTGGTTCTCAATTTGTGGATTGAGACATTTATGGGGGAGTCAAACAGCCCTTTCACAGGGGTCACCTAAGATAATAGAAAAACATGGGTATTTACATTATAATTAATTACAGTGGCAAAAGCACAGGTATGCAGTAGCAAGGAAAACAGTTTTGGTTGGGTGTCACCACATCATGAGAACTGTACTAAGGGTCCCAGCATTAGGAAGGGTGAGGACCACTGTTGTGACAGAGCATCTCACTGGGAGCGCTGTATTTGGTCATCTCCCTCACTGGTCCCCTACAGTGAGGACTGTTTTGGTTTTGATTTTTTATAGGAGACCTGTGATTTCTGTCATATTAGGACTGGATATTTGAAATTATTTTCTATGAACATTATTTTCAGGACACACTCATAGAGAAAGTCAAACACTTTCTCCTACAGTGTTTTTATTTATATTTTTTACAACACCCTTTAAGATACTCATCTTACACTTTTTGTTGATGTTGAAATAGCTTTTCTTTCCTCTTTTTAAAAATCAGTCCAAGAGCCGGGCGTTGGTGGTGCACGCCTTTAATCCCAGCACTCGGGAGGCAGAGGCAGGCGGATCTCTGTGAGTTCGAGACCAGCCTAGTCTCCAGAGCGAGTGCCAGGATAGGCTCCAAAGCTACACAGAGAAACCCTGTCTTGAAAAACCAAAAAAAAAAAGAAAAAAAAAAAATCACTCCAAGATCCCTAGCTACAATATGTCATAAACCTCGGTTTAAATACCAGATACAAGGTGTGGTAACTGCCAGAGCCTGAGCGTTCCCACAGCAGCCACACTTTCCTGTGTCCTCCCAGGACGTGCAGTACTCAGACATCGACTACATGGAGAGGCAGCTGGACTTCACCCTCAGCCCCAAGTTCTCTGGGCTCCCAGACCTGATCAGTCGCATGAAGAAAGATGGGATGCGGGTCATCCTCATTCTGGTGAGTCCTTGTGTGAATGTGCAGGCTGCACTTGGGACCATGGATGGGCCTGTGTGGGGACCACCTTAGAATGTCTGTCCTTTCCAGTTCTCAGAGAGAAATAAAAGTGCAATTACTATAAGTGCATTCCCTGGGTGTCACGGAATCTCTATAGTGAAAATTGCAATTGGGGACTTCACTTTTCTACCCTATCTTGTTTGTCATAATCTGTCTTAATTTTCCACCTGCCTTGTGCTCTGCTTTCAGGACCCAGCTATTTCTGGCAATGAGACAGAGCCCTATCCTGCCTTCACCCGAGGTCTACAGGAGGACGTCTTTATCAGATATCCCAATGGTGGAGACATTGTCTGGGGAAAGGTATGAGCTGAGTGTTGATCCAGGGATCCTCACCCTCTGTTAGAGACACAGTTAGTGGTTTTCAGGAATGTTGATTTTGTGCCTGTTATTTTGTTTTCTGTAAATTTGTTTTTGTTTTCTGTTAATATCTACTAATATGCTTAAGAGCATTATCGAATCCATTCTCCTTTAGGTCAGTCCTACCTGGTAACTATTAGTCCTAGAAACTTTGCTTTTAGTTTTCTAAGAAATTATTTGTATGAAAATTTGTTCAGGACATTGCTGTTAAATCTTTTCTCTCCATAGGTCTGGCCTGATTACCCTGGTATTGTGGTGAACAGTTCTCTAGACTGGGACAGTCAAGTGGAGGTAAAAGGCCTTTTGTGGATGCTGGATGTAGTCAGGGTTGCCAGGAAGAGTCAGTCATGTCTAGGGAACTATATGTGTCAACTCTTATGACAGACACATGTGAGAATCGCTTAGGAGCAATGATTTTCCTGATGGTCTGAGACCCATTATTTTATGTGAATCAGTGTTTTCCATCAAGTTCTGATGTTCACATTATTGACCATGGGGCTTAAGACTCCTTGTGCTCAAGTTTCCTGTCGTAGTTCTCCTTGTCACAAAGGCAATTTCCAATGCAAAGGTTCCTAAGGGCTATGAACGCATCATGATGCTAGCTTTAAGAATGCTGTCCTTTCTTCCTGTAAAACAGTTTCCAGTCTTTGTCCTCAGTTGTTGGATCTTTTTTCTCTGTGTATATTTATATTCAAACATTGGCTGCTCATATCCACACAATATTTTGGCACCACCCTTCCATCATTCATTGGCTTGTAGACTTTGCTTTTACCTTTATATTATTCAATTTATTTCTTTTGTGAACAGTCTTTTTCATTTAATGGAACCAAGTAATCTAGATTCCAGTCTTAATGTTTTCTCATCTTCATTTTCATCTGTTGCTTGGATGAATAAATTCATTGACACAACTGGCAAGAGAAGCATCAGGCCCTCTTCTTGCTAAGATGCTTATCTGAAGCCCTGAGGCAGCCTGTTTATTATCCTGTAAATTTTTCTGCTACACCTTTAAGCAGTGTTCACATGATTGGGAGGTTGCCTTCCTGATCTCCAGTATTTTCCAGACCTTTAACTCTTCCTTAACAATGATCCTAATTGAGGGTCTAGAATTGTATCAGTATGTCCGGTTGGGAAGTAAGATAGTCCTAGCGTACCAGACATGTATGAAGGTTTAGCTGATGATGAAGCTGTCCTATCATGGTTCACACAGTACAGCTGAGATCTAGAAAGCCTGTTAGATTCAAGCAGTAATGTATACATTAATTCTGCATTGAAGCATTAAAGTTTTAAATTTAGGTTTTAACCACACAAAGCCCAGAATTCCAGGACCAATCCATTCCACACAATATAATGGTTTCCAGATGCTGGGAATGTGTATTATTTGTGCTTTTCAATCTTTAAATATTTTTCTGAGAAGTCAAGAATGATATATTGCAGGAGCTCTATTCAGACTATCCCTATGCACAACTATGGAGACAGAAGAATTCATTAATTTCTTAGTAAGTGACTTCTTCCTGTATAATATTTCCATTTACAATAACTGGATTTTTTTGTCATTTGACAGCAATACCGAGCTTATGTGGCCTTCCCAGACTTTTTCCGTAATTCAACTGTCACGTGGTGGAAGAAGGAGATTGAAGAACTCCACACAAACCAACAGAATCCAACCAAGAGCTTGAAGTTTGATGGCCTGTGGATTGTAAGTGTGCATAGATGTGTCTGTGTGTACATGGATATGGGTGTGTTTGTGTGTGTATGTGTTGTTGTGAGCATGTGGATTCATGATATTGGGCAAGGTGATAATAATTTCAGAAAAAGAGTTCAGATAGCAAAATGCAGATCATCTAATCAAAGTTAGAATTGTCCTTTATGAAGTAAGTGGTAACCCTCCTGAATTTCCTGCTGTAAAAACTCCACAACAGTTAGTGGGAAATCCTTAGAGCATTGTTTTCCTAAGGGAACAATGAAATCCCCTGGCTTGTCATGTTGAGGGTAGGTGTTCTTTCTAGCCTGTACTTCCCTTAGTTCATCATCCTTTCTGGGTAGCATTGATAGAGATGCTAGATACTGAATGTGTGACTATTTCTTTGTTTCTGAATTGACAGAACTTAAGTATCTTTAAAAGTAAGCCATAACCTCACTATTTGTAGGATATGAATGAACCTTCCAGCTTTGTAAATGGGGCAGTTCCTCCAGGCTGCAGCGATGCTACCCTGAACCGTCCTCCCTACATGCCACGTAAGGACCTTGGGATCTCTTCCCTTGTTGCTCAGTGCCTGCAAGAAAGATGAGCTGAGCATCCTGCGGTTACCATAACCACCATGGCACCTCCTCACCATTAATTTGGTTTCATATGTCCTAAGTCAAAAGCATGTCATATTATCCAACTGGAGACATTAGAAAATTTTTTGAATTTGTCCACACTGTGATAATGTCTCTGTGGTGTGTAACTTACAGAATGTCTTTTTGAACCAAGATGTACAATGAAGTGTCTTCCCTTCTTGATGGACTGGGTGGATTCGGAGTGATGCACATTTATAACTTAGCTCCATACACTATGCCTTTTCTGAGTTGTGTGACCTTCCAGAGACATTAGCAAACTAAGTTTCCTAAAGTGTGAGAGGCAAACAACATTATCCACTCACAGAAATATGATAAAAAGTTATGAAATAATTCGTGCATTAAAAACTAAATAACTGCCAGGCGTTGGTGGTGCACACCTTTAATCCCAGCACTCGGGAGGCAGAGGCAGGCAGATCTCTGTGAGTTTGAGGCCAGCCTGGTCTACAAGAGGTAGTTTCAGGACAGCCTTCAAAGCCACAGAGAAACCCTGTCTTGAAAAAACAACCCCTCCCACCAAACAAACAAACAAAACAAACAAACAAGCAAAACTAAAAAACTTATGGGACTGGAAGGCTGGTTCATCAGTTAAGAGTGAAAATGCCATCCTAACAGAGGACTCATGGCAGGTGACTCAAAGTCACTGAGAACTCCAGCTCCAGAGTATTAGATTCCCTTTTCTGTTGGCTGCCTTTAACCCCTCTCTCTTATACACACACACACACACACACACACACACACACACAACAATAAATCTTTTAAGGAAGCTTACTTATACTTGGGCCTCCCCCATAGTGAATATTTGACAACCAGTTTTCTTCCCAGTCTTCCATTTTTTAAAATCCAATTTGATGCTGAAAATGCCTTCATTCACCTTACTACTCAGAGAAGACTATTGTTATAGTTTTCTATAACAATAGTTATAGAAGTAGAGTGCTCCTGGGAAGTAGAGTGGGACCCAGGCAGAGGATGTTAGTCTTCATATCTTCTAAAAAGAGGTCAGGAATTAAGAGTCAAGGCTGATCATCACTGATTTTTGTATTATTTCCCTCAGATTTGGAAGCCAGGGACAGGGGCCTGAGCAGCAAGACTCTGTGCATGGAGAGTGAGCAGATCCTTCCAGATGGCTCCCGGGTGCGGCACTATGATGTGCACAGCCTGTATGGGTGGTCCCAGACCAGACCCACCTATGAGTGAGTGACCCTCTCCTTTCTCCAGTTGATGGCACCTGTGGGGACAGTCAGTGATGGGTTTATTTCCCCTGATTTGTCATTCATTCTCCATACTAAGGACTAACAACTAATCTAACTATAACTTTGTAGAGATTTGTACTTATTAAGTAAACATTCTATGGGCTTGTGACCACACACTGTGATTATAATCAGAAGCAAGATTTAAACAAGGTACCAATGCATCAGTGGGAAATATTGCTGGTGAGGACACACTCATCTAGGGATACCAGGTCATCAAACAATATAGCAAGTGTTATAGGTAGAAGTCACTTTAGTTAGAGACAAACAGGAAAAGGACTAAAACTTCCCTCCTTTATTTCAGAATTGGAAAGTATTTTTGGAAGTCTGTTATCTGTTGTTGTTTGTTTCTTAATTATTATGGCCACTTTCATCAGATGGTTCTTTTAGTGAATAACACCATATCATTTGCCCAATGTATACTACTAATTATCTAATGGGAAGCATTAGAAAAGATTTTCTATTTTTCCTCCCCAGATACAGCAAACCAAGTATTGGGTAAATAACTAAGAACCTTTATTTCACGCTTACCACTTGGTGACAACCTGGGGGTTCATCAAATGTTGATTTCTTTAAAGGATAAAAAGGCATGATAACTGCTATTATCCCCATCAGTCAGCCAGCAGAATCTTCATAAATCAGATTTGCAGACTCCTCCAGATGTAGCAAACATTTTCCACTGTAAAAGGGTTTGGAGAAGAAACTCTATTGTGTTGCTCTGCTCTTCTTCAATATATGTTCTTGTTCCCCCAACCAGAGCTGTTCAGGAGGTGACAGGAGAGAGAGGGATTGTCATCACACGCTCCACATTCCCCTCTTCTGGACACTGGGCAGGACACTGGCTGGGAGACAACACAGCTGCCTGGGACCAGCTGGGGAAGTCCATCATTGGTGTGTGGGTTGTGCCCAGGGGCCTCTGCTGCCCGTGAATGGAGTGGGGTGTAGGATCTTTGGTGAGGTGAAAGGAGGAGGAGGAGGAGGAGAAGGAGGAGGAGGAGGAGGAGGAGGAGGATGAGGAGGAGCCTGTCCTGACCCTGCTGTATCTCTCTCTCCTTGCAGGCATGATGGAGTTCAGTCTCTTTGGCATCTCCTATGTAAGTGCTCTTGCAATCTCCTCCTCCCTAGGAAGGGGGCAGCATCTCTCAGAAAACACCAAAGCTCACTTGGTTCCTTGTTGTTTCAGACCGGGTCAGACATCTGTGGGTTCTTTCAAGATGCTGAGTATGAGATGTGTGTTCGCTGGATGCAGCTGGGAGCCTTTTACCCCTTCTCCAGGAACCACAACACCATTGGGACCAGGGTAGGATGTCAGCTTCCTTGTCTATATTATGTCACTGGAAATGCTACCTCAGTTTCTGAGAACAGTCCTGCTGCCTGTGTTCCCTAGGACAGCTGCAAAGCCATTAATCCTCTTCCTCTAAACCATAGTATCCAATATAATTTTGATGACTTTTTGCTTAGGGACTGTTTTCCATTATATCTCATAAAGAATGCCTTACAATTTTTGTCTGATAGAATTTTGTTGATATTTGCTAGTCCATTAAAAATATTCTAAGAGTCCTATTCATCCCATTCATCGTTTTCTAAAGTTTATGGTATGTTAGATGTGTGATATGCCATTCAAATAGGTTTGCAATGACCTTGAATTCCTTTGTTGTCTCTTATGGACTTTGAACACTTTTCTTCTGGTGCTTTAGAGACAAGACCCTGTATCCTGGGATGAAGCCTTTGAGGATATTTCCAGAAGTGTGCTGGAGACCAGATACACCCTGTTGCCATATCTCTACACCTTGATGTACAAGGCCCACACGGAGGGCAGCACAGTTGTGCGGCCTCTTCTCCACGAGTGAGTGTCCAGTTGCAATCCTGTTGACCAATGGACAATTTATTCATAATTTAGGATGGAAGTGGATCCAAATAATTTTTACGCAGGGAAGTGATAAGTCTCCTTCCATGTGAGTTCTCCACAGAGAGCATCTTTATCTGCAGTGCACCTTTTGTGCAGTGTATACATAGCACTAGTGTTGGATTCAAGGAATTTCCTGAATTTATGAAATGTAAGGTTCCAGCATGGCACAATTTCTTTCTGATTTGGTCCTACAAGTCTTCCCTAATTTGTGTAGGGATTTTGTTTTTTTTGGACCCTGAGGAGCATATCTTGATGTAACTTAAGTGGACATTCCAGGGAGAAATGGCAAGGACAAGCATCTCATTGCATTATAGTGTGGCACTGTGAGGAATAGATGCTTTGTGGCAGATAATACCTTTCTGAAGTTCTAAGAATATAGCACATGGGGCATGGGGTCTATGTGATCCCTATCAGTCTAGTTAAATATAAGGAAGGTAAGGGTGTAGCTGAATTGCTGACTTGGGTCTGAACTTGAGAACTTCTTGTGGGCTTGTCTTGAGGTCCCGTTGGGGTCAGATTGATATTTCCTTTTCAGGTTTCTGTCCGACCGGGAGACATGGAATATAGACAAACAGTTCCTGCTGGGTTCATCCTTCCTGGTCAGCCCCGTGCTGGAGCCCGTGAGTATGGAGACTCGAGGGATTAAGGATTCCACTATAGGGCTGGATGCCAGGGGTAATGCAGAGTCTGGTGTGAGAGGGATTGCTAGACATGGATTCTAGATTTTTAGACTTTACATTTGTCTCCCTTGGTCCTTCTGAGCCAAATTCCATGTCTTAGGTTTTGTGCCTTTAAACTTTTAATGTCAGCCTAACATTTCAAGGAATAACCTTGTCATGTATTTAAGCATGTAATTATTTCTCTGTGAGCTAAGTGAAGGTATGCGGGGTCACACGCAGGAAGCTTAAAGATTCCTTATTCCTTTTCTGGTATTCTCAGCTAAAATTATCTGCAGAACTATTTGCAGCAGTGTGTGTGATCTTTTTTAACCTCTTCTATCCTTTATTTCTTTATTTTTGAGGTTATAATGTAATTTCACAATTCAGCCCTCCCTCCATGTCATTTTTTTGAAACCAGCTGGCTTCCCCCTTCCTTCTATTCATGATCTTAAAGGTAGAAAAAATGATTAATTTACTTGCTCTGTATATAATGTGACTTTTGATAAAATGAACAGATAATTAACACACCCTGCAGCTTTCTGAGGCTGCCTAATCTTCCTCTGCTCTATTGTCAACATTACCTATTCATGTCTTTAGGGAGGGGGTGAAGGCAGCTGTAGGAGAGTGGTGTTTGCTTTTCTCTGGAGTCTAGAAGCCTGAGGGACTTTGCGAAAGCAGTTATTTTTGATAGGCTAATTTCTATCGCTGGAAAAGGAGGGTCTCCTTCATGGATACCATAAGTGATATAGAATAATTTCGGCTAGCTCTGTTACCTTTATTGTTATTTTAACCCCTCACCAATGTATACTGGTCACTGTGTCCTAGATACCAGAGTCTACTGCCCACACTTTCTTTGTATTTTATTTCAGAATGCCAGAAATGTCACTGCCTATTTCCCCAAAGCCCACTGGTATGACTATTACACGGTGAGTTTTTCTTTGTATTTACATAATCCACACAGTGGTAGCATGCAGAGTGTCTGGATGTGATAGATACGAAGCTTCATGCCACTTCCGGAAATCACCTTTTGTGGTTTTGAATGGCCAGTTTACTCTCTGTGACCTCGTTTCCTAACTTCTGACCATGACCAGTCACCCTTCAGGCAAGCATTCTGCAGTGTCATACAGAGTATCTCAGGCTTGCTGGGAGTTGTCTGTATGTGTGAGTCTGTAGCTTTGTCTTAATATCATTACAGTGGGGACACACCAGTAAACTCTTGAAATCATGCCGCAGATTCATTTTTGTTTATATAAGTTCTTAATTTATAATAAGGTATTTTCCTCTCTGCTTTTTATGAAAAGCCCAAACTCTGGGGCTGGAGACATGGCCCAACATGTAGGTGCTAGCATATAGGCCTGGTGTTTGGAGTTTGATTCCTAGATCCCACTAGGTGGAAGGAAGGAAGAAACTCCATGAGTCATTCTCTGATCTACACACACACACACACACACACACACACACACACACACACACACCCTCTAAATAAATAAGTAGATAGATAAAATTTGAAAGTCAGTGTCTGTAGTTTGTAAACTTAAGGAGAATTCCTCTGTATCATCAGTATTAGTAGCTATGAGACACATATAAATATACAAAATACAGACATATGGCCCAGGACTTGGACATCTGAGTTGCTCATATGTATTTACTGATGAAAAGCCAGCAAAAAGCCTCCTATGATGTATTTCCGAGCCAGTGAAAGCTAAGAGTCCAGCTGAAAGGACAGGGTATTAGAGGTTTGCTGTCCTCTAACAAAAGGAGAAGGAAGTGGTGGACAGACAAATGTCAGAGCATATGTCAGTCCCTTAGTTGACACCTCAAGGGGATCGCTGTAAGATGGGGTGAAAGCTGTCTGAAGAATATCAGAGTGAATCCCCTCTTCTTCTCCATCTTGGGAGCACCTGGACACTCCTCCACATGCTTTGCTATTGGCCAGTTCTGTCTTTAGGGTGGGCAGAAGCACTCTAGTGCTTTCTTAGCAGACAATAGTCAGCATCCTTGCTTTGCCTAAATTTCATGTTGACTTCCTTACCCCTTGACAATAAGACCTTCTGAGTATGTTTGGAGTTTCTGATATAGGGCTTGGGCTAGGGTTAAGTAGGGAGAAGCCCAGGACACACAATTTAAGGAAGCCCTGTACTGCAAGTCTGGCCCTACCTTTACATGGCTTTGAAAGCATAGACCACTTTAAAATGTGCACCCTAGGCATCTGGCTATCCTGTTCTAGTGCTGACCTTACCCAGTAAAATGCTTTTTTTGCTGAGCACTAGGTGTAGGAATACTGAACACACAGCCTCATGAAGCTGAACATGTAATCTCAGTAGAGGACAGCAAGCTTTGTTTATCTCGAGTACTGGCACATAAGTAAATGACTACATGTACTCCATTTTAAAAGTAAAGTATGAAGGCTACTAAGAAAGAGTTTCCTGGACTGGCGAAATTTACTTATGCCTTTTAAATAGAAGGTAGTTTCAGATAAAGAGGAGGTAACTGAAATCACTTGCAAAGACAAAAGTCAATTGAGAAAGCCTTTCTGCGAAAAAGGAAAACCTTAAAAGTGATGTTTAGTTAAAACAAACTTTAAATGGTTGGAATTACTGAGAAAATGCTACTTTAGTTATTACCACAGGCTACAGATACTTAGTGTCTTTCTTTTTCTTTTCTTTCTGTTTTGGGGGAATGTGCAGGGATAGCTAAACACCTTTGTCACCTATTTTTATGCTTCATGTTGTACTGGATGACAGCCAGATACAACCTATCTGAATACCCCTTATCTCCAAAGCAACAGTGTTCAGACACCTACCACAGGACAATTACAGTGTCTCATGGTCATTGTGGGATAGGGTCATGGAGCTGCCAGTGGCCTCTAGTGAACAGATATCAACAATGCTACTTTTTACCCCAAAGCACAGGACAGCCTTATTACAAGAAGGAGTTATCTGCTACAAGGTATCAATGGAACCAGTGTCAAGGAGGAAGAAGCCCCGTGGGAATTGAGACAGTGTAGCGAGGTTTGAGGCTACGCTTCAGGTCAGACTGCACCTCACACAAGACTAGATAAAAGTGTTGAGAGAAGATATAGTCAGGCATTCTGTAAGGATATATAAACAATAGTCTTTATTTGGATGTTTTCTATGAAGCAGGACTCGCAAGTGTTACTTATCTAACAGGTGTAGGAGTGCAAATGAGGAGAAATGGAGAATCTGTAGTTTCTGGGTGAAAGCAAGGTCTAGTATTGCCCCCTGGAGAAGATGTTTCAGAAACTAAGGAGTGGCAACATTGCCCATTGTCACCCCTGCACAGGGTGTGCAGTGAGAATGGTTGGGATCCACACAAAGACTTCGTTTAGTATGTCCTGTAACTCTCCCTCTTATCTTCACTCCCCACAAGGTCAGCAATTCTAAAAGGGTCATTAAAGCCTTAAATACAGCAAGCTTTAATGCAGCAGAGGGAAACAAAGTGTGATGACGACCTATGCTGAATGGTTCTGACCCGGCAGATTGTTGAGGATCTGCTGGGAGTTCAGAAATGTGTGTCTTCTTTTTCTCAACATCTCTTCTCCTGCCACAGGGTGCAGATATTAATTCAACAGGAGAGTGGAAGACATTGCCAGCCCCTCTGGAGCACATTAACCTTCACATCCGGGGAGGTTCCATCTTGCCATGGCAGAAGCATGCCCTGAACACTCACTTAAGGTGAGCCATGGGACTAGGGCTCTGCTTTGCGTACCATGAGCTGATCCTTTGGTGATGATGAAAGACACATTTACATCAAGCACAACTCTCAAGGCCAAAAGCAGTATGCAAGCATTCATTGTTCTGCTGTTTATGAATGTGCTTTGCCTCTTGCATTCATTGTTCTGCTGTTTATGAATGTGCTTTGCCTCTTTTCACAACTGGGTGTGTTTTATTTTTCTCAAAAGAACATAATAGACATTAAACTAAACTAAGGCTTAGTGCTGTATAATAGAATTGGCACTTGAGTGGCAGAGGCAGTATAGGGTCATGAGTTCACAGCCCGCCTGGGCGAGGGAGCCAGTCTGAGTGGCTTGTCTCAAAAACAAACAAACAAACAAACAAATCACCGTGATCAAAGACACGCAATGTAAAGTTACCATTGTATAGATGAACCTTATTGCATGTGATTCTGAGTAAAAGTTTCATTGGCAGAGAAAACCTATGGTGGCAGCTGATCTGGTCCTTGTAGTACAGTGTGTGTTTTTACTGACCCGGCCACAGCACCACTGTCTAATACTCCTCCTATTCTTATGGTCTGCACTGTGCATTTCAGAGCAGCCACAGAATTCACTGTAGCTGATGCAGTGATCACATCCAGACTTCCTGTTTGGAAATACGTTGCTGAGGTTTGGGACACTTCTTTCTTGCGACGGTGATATGGAGAAAATGTCTCCTAGTATTCTTGCCCCTGTCTCTGAAGGGAAGAAGTCATCCATGACTAATACCTTTACCCGTTTGAAATTTTGTGGCAGTATTTTCTAAAATTCTTTGAGTCCTAAGGATTTGTGCCTTGTGTGAATCTTGTCCCCCACAGCCGGATGAACCCTCTTGGTCTTCTCATTGCCCTGGATGAGAACAAAGAAGCACGAGGAGAACTGTTCTGGGATGATGGGAAGTCAAAGGGTGAGTGCTGTGAGGGGTGTGGCCACTGCACACCTGCATGTCTCACTCTGTGCCTTCACCCCTGCTGGCCATTCTGCTGTGAGTGAAATATCACCAAGCATCCCAGAGCATCCTCCCAGAGAAAACGTGTGTTTCTGGATGGACTGGTCAGAGGCCACGAGAGATGAACCACTGATGGAGGAGGGAGAGCATCTCTCTTTTTCTTTGTCTGTCTCTCTTTCGGAATTCTTATGTGAGTGCGGCTATTTAGCCCCTGTGTAAGCAGAGCTCATACATTGCTTCTCCTTTGCTGTCTTACCTGCTTCTCCTAGTGGAACACGATCCAGATTCATCTCTGCTCTAAAAATGTGGGGCTTCCTTCTCTTTAACACTAAAGGATACTCCATTGCATACATGCACTGTAATTCTCTTGTTCATTTGTCTGCTATTAGATATGTTTGTTGTTTCCCCATCTTAGCTAAAGTGAAAAAATGGACAACATACACAACAACAACCTCTTAGGAGGAAATATAGGGGAAAGCTTCTTTGATACTGGGCATGGTGTTGTGATTTTAAGCATGACACCAAAAACAAAGGCAACAAAATTATAAAATAAATTTGCAGAGGCATTATGGAGAACAGTGTAGACACTTCTTCACATGTTGAAAATAGAACTACCATCTAGCACAGAAGTTCCATGTCTTGGTATATACCTTCCAAAAGAAATGAAAACAGTATGCCACAGAGATGCTGAACCTCTCCTATTCACTGTGGCATTGTCTGTGCTAGTGAACAGCCAGAAGCAGCCAAATCTACCTGACAGATGAATGAATAAAGAAGCTGTGATACACAGATCTAGTGATGTGTTCTTCAGTCACAAAAAGAAAGAGGAGCCAGTTTTTAGGAGAAGAAGGTGAAGCTCAGCTTCTGTGGTTGCCAGGCCAGTCTGACATCTCTTTCTTCTTTCAGATACTGTGACCAAGAACACTTACATTTTCAGTGAATTTTCTGTCACCCAAGTGAGTGCATATTTTTATGAATATTGTATGGGATTTTGTCTGAAGATGTCTGTATGTGTTCAGCTATATGCATGTAACTGTATTTATTTAAATATCAGCATTTATGTGGATGAATACATTGCTTTTTATGACTTAATTCATAATAATTACATCAGCTATATTTATTGAAAACAGTCAACAGTCTGTAAAAGACAATTCTATAAAGTATCACTCTGTTTCCTCACTCTCTCTATGGGCATTGTAAAAATAAATTCGTACTCCCATTAGCATGCACCAGCAAAGAAAATTGATAGTCCTTTAGTCAAGGGTGGAGTCTAGGATGCAGTGTTTGTGGGCTTAAGGAATCTATACACTATTTGTTCATAATTATGCTTGATGTGTTTCAGAACCATTTGAATGTGACAATTTCAAGTGCAAGCTACAAGGATCCCAATAACTTAGAATTCCAGGAAGTTAAAATCTTTGGGACAGAGGAAATTTTCAATGTTAGAGTGAAACAGAATGGTGTCCTTAGTCAAATGTCTCCTCAAGTCACTTACAACTCAACTCTGAAGGTAAGAATTGATAGACCTCCATGGTGTCTTGAAACCACTTCTTGCTAAGATGACATGTGTCATTGAAAAACCAGAGCACATCTGAAACCTGATGGTGACGTCAGAGTATGAAGGAGGAAGGTAAAAATGGAGAGATAGTTTGAGGCACCATGACTCCAGTTTCCCCATCCTCATTTTCTTTACTCTCAGTGTTTGGTTTTCTCTGACTAGATGTGGGGACAAGATCCGAGGGATGGGGTCTGAAGGCTGATGGCTTGTGCTTCAAGGTGAAGGTAGAGATAGAGATCCTAGGAATTTAAAAGTTTAAATTGCTCTTATTTATTTAAATTTTAATGTTTCTTTCCTTTTGCTAAGCTCTCTTGAGAATAGTATATATTCCCTAACATTTGCAAGAATATTTTATGAAAAAGTTGATGCTGTGATTAACTAACTTAGAAGTGATTGAAAAGTGGTATTCTGGCAGTTATAATGAGATTCAGCCTTTCTGTATGACTTCCATTCCATTCCTCTAGTTTTTCAGCACTGGGAAGAACCTTTACCTAGTTAGCTGAGATTTCTACTAAATGGTGTGTTGATATGTGACATTTTGTCATGACAACATATGAAGAGGATACATTTATGACGAAGTTACAAATAAAGAATTATGTGGTTGGTTGTGTCTATTGCCAAGTTTAAGACATCTGAAGGATGCTTCTGTGAAAACAAGCCTTGTTCACAATAGAAAATAAAATGCTTAACTCATCCATTACTGTTTCAATCAGGGTGGTGAGAGATGCATTTCAAATACGTGAAAATATACAAAACTATTAAGAAGGTGTCTAAGCCAACGTTTGTAAAATGTTTGATTGTAAAAAAATTGATGACATGCAGTAGTTGAGACCAACTTTTTGGTTTTGTGGAGATGGAGAAATAGCTCAGCACTTAATATCACTGGCTGTTCTTCCAGAGGTTCCAGGTTTGATTCCTAGTACACACATGATGGTTCACAAACATCTGTAACTCCAGTTACAGAGGATCCAATACCACTTCTGTGGGTAGTATACACATGTAACACAGAGACATGCATGCAAGCAAAATACAGGTACACATAAAACAAGGTTGGGTTCATCAGATTTATGTGACAAGATGTATGAGATGGCAAACAGATTGGTTTATTTTTCTGCAATTAAAAGTTCAAAGTTGAAAACTTGCTGGAATTGTTTCAGAGTTTGAACTTTGTCAGGAGTAAGGTCTGTCTTATCTAATGACTGGAAGTCACTGCTGCATGGATCTAGTCAGAATGCCCTTATTCTAGAGAGATGAAAAAGGAAAACAAAAGAAGCAAAGGAAAGGGAGTTGGAAGAAGAGGAAGGCAGAGATAAAGCAGAAGGGGCCTGTACTTCTAGCAAGAAAGAAACCCTGGCCCAGAAAGTGAACTCAGATTTACTTTTCTGACCATGAATATGCTGCAGTCATTAAAACATCAGTTATTAGTTGATAGGATATATTATATGAACCTGAAATACTAAGAAAGGAGAGGAGATTTCATACTAATAAGACAGCTGGTAATGACTCAGAAAGGGCCCCATTTGCCTAGACAGCATTTGCCTTGGTGATGCTCTCTACGTTGAGCTATCAGAACATGGCAGCCAAAGGGGTCAGGAGTCTGACATTGTCTGCCCTTAACTCCATGACTGGCTTAGTATATTGAAAATGGGACTTTATGTAACGATATTTCCTATTCCCCAATCTTATCCTTAGTTGATAGATCTGAGATCAAAAGAATTGATATTGGCCAGGCAGTGGTGATACATACTATTAATGCTAGCACTTGGGAGGCAGAAAGAGGCAGATATCTGTGAGTTTGAGAACATCTTGGTCTATAGAGAGAGTTAAAGGACAGCCAGGGCTACAATGAGAAAACCTGTCTCAAAAAAAAAAAAAAAAAAAAAAAGAGTTGAAGTAATCTATGTAAGATTCGGGAGAAAACTGGAACTGGATGACTCGTATTGCCCTATTCTCTAGGCATTTCACACCCACCACAGTGGTCATGACACGGCAAGGAGATCAATGGCAAAAACAGCTTATTTGGGATTAGAAGGAGAAAACGTTTCTGATAAAATGAACAGGGGTCAAGAGGTTCAGGGAAGGAATGAAAAGAAAAAGTGTGATCACAGCAGGTTTCATCATCTATCTCTTCCTACAGTGTAATATGTAAGGTCTTGATAGAATACTGGTGTTTTCCTTTTGTCACTATCTCTTACTCCATATATACAGTTGTACTCTTACAAACTATAGTGTGCTCATTAATCATGAAAAGCAGGGCATAAAGACAGACTAAGAATGACATTTATACTTAATTTCTGTTAAAAAAAAAAGTTGTGGTCTGGAAAGAGCTTAGTCCTGAGGATGTCTTTGCATTCCTTCAGGTTGCCACCATCACAGATCTCCATCTCGTGCTGGGAGAACCATACGCCATCCACTGGAGCACCAAGAGGGACCAGGAGAAGATAGACTGCTATCCAGACGAGCATGGAGCTTCTGAGGCCAACTGCACTGCCCGTGGCTGCATCTGGGAGGTGAGCTTGCTGAGGATGCTCAGATAAACTGGCACCCAATACAGCCTGCAATGGCTTTAGCACAGTCATCTAACCCCAGATTTATTAAAATCCAGGGAAAGAAAAGTCTCCAGAAGAGCCTGAGTTTTATTGAGGACTGTAAAGTGGAAGAGTGGGATGTTTACTGTGTTGTTTAGAGTCCTGAAAGTTAAATCCATGTTTACTTTCCTATAGGTATGAGTGAATGAAACAATAACTTTCTCCATATAAATGGCCTTTTCTAATCTATTTGACAACTCCAGATCCCTGCTGATCTAGGATATTGACTTTCTTTTCAGGAATCGGACACTCCTGGGGTTCCTTATTGCTTCTTTGCCAGTGACCTGTACTCAGTCAGCAATGTTCAGTATCACCAGAACGAGGCCACAGCTGACATTTCCTTGAAGGATTCTCCTTATAGCAACGCCTTCCCCTCTACACCCGTGAAGCAACTGCAAGTGCAAGTGATCTACCACAAGAATGAAATGCTGCAGTTCAAGGTAAACACAGTGTGCAATCAGGTGTGCACAGGGCCTTTCTAGTTCCATCATCCTTTGCAACCTTTTGTAACAGCATTCCAAAAAAAGTTTTATGTTTTAATCAAATAGTGTAGGACAACATTCTAATAAGGAGAGTAATTAGATGACTGCTAGAACAGGGAAATCTCTCCTAATTTTAAATTTGAGAGAATCACTCTGTCTAAAGAAAATGTTTAGGAGGACAAAACACAGAGAGGAAGCAGAGAAGTCTACCTGGAAGGTTGGGCAGTTGTGGATGAGTTGGTCTATGGGTAAGACGGGAGATGGGCAACAGGGATATGTTTGAGACCTTGAGACCATCTTGGTCATTCAAATCAACTACAAGAGGAGCATGCCTGAAGAATTACTCCCATGTTCATAGCATTCAAATGTGTGTGTATGGTTAGTAATGATAATGGAATTCAGAAAACTGATAAGATACGTGATTGAAATATATGAGGGGGAGTATGATTTTTGAATAAAATAATTGGAGGCACATTTGAAATACTCATGAAAGTAATTTCTTTTCCCTCCATGGTTTAATTAAGGAAAGGGACAAAGGATGGACTAGCTATCCTCTTGTTTGTTTCATTATTAAACTGTTAGCTGTCTTCCACCAGGGTGGTACTGGAATCCCTCACATAGGCTGTTATATATAGTGAGCACTCCAGTGCTGCTGGAAGAGTACAAGGCACTGATCACGGCAGAGTGGCTTTGTCCAGACTACTCTTAGAATCTGAGCTCAATCTGGACTTGAGTTCTCCATCTTCTGATGTGATGATGGTGATGTGTGTGTCCTCACCAGAATGGAGTTGATTGGGTGTGTAGCCTCAACTCACACTCAGTAACCACTTAGCCATGCTGTAGCTCTTTCTACCATACTCATGTCTTTCTGAGCCCAGCTCAGCTCTCTGGATCTTTGTGTTTGTTGTTTCTCTACCAGAATCACTTGTTGTCAGTTTTGTGTTGGTTTATTGTTGCTTAACTTTTAAGACTCAACCTGTATTTCTTCCATGAAACCATCTCACTGTTCCTTCTCTGTAATAGCAAAGCCCTTCTGCAGAGTTTTTATTAGCTCACATCCCTCAGGAGTGCTGAGTTCTTCTGTCCTATTTCCCATGAGTTCCTAAGCTTTTCACAACATTAACCTTGGCTTATTCCTTTCTCAATTATTTGCTGTTGTGTCAGCAGTAGACTGTGGATTCTTAATTATTCAGCTTCATCCCTTTCAGAAAGGATGGTTTTAGCCAGAGAAACTTAGATTTTTTCCCTTTTATGAAAGGTTTCAGGTCTCCTTAGACAGACAAAACAGTATATTTTTATAAATACCACACCAATTTCAGAATGAGGTTTTCACATTAACAGTAATGTTGAAATGGATGAAGGAATGCTCTAGAGCCCACAATACTGAGACATGTCCCAGATCAAGCTATCTAACAGGAAATTGTTTTCTGATGTGTTGGTTAATTCCTGTATTGTGATGCAAAAGAAGAGGAAACCTACAGCCTCTAGACTGTGTCAGACACACTAAGGGAATGCTGAGGTATTCATCTCTAGAGATCAATTCATGTCTAAAGGGTTCTTTTGAAATGACAGTTAACTGTGAATGTGTACACTATTGTTGTGATGCTGTCACATTTTTACACATGATGGATTGATCAATTCAGTACAGTTAGGATATCTGGTGTTCAATCCTCTAGTATTTTGTGTCGTGGAAATTCAACATCTTCATTAGTTGTTTTAAATTATATTTCAGTTATGTAATTATAGTGTTAATTATGGAATGTTGCTAATTGTGATCACTGTCAGAATGCTAGGAAAACATCATAAGGTACCTGTCATAATTTTGTCTTCACATGAAATGATTTCTTCCTGTCTAGATCTACGATCCCAACGACAGTCGGTATGAAGTCCCAGTGCCTCTGAATATCCCCATTTCTCCATCCAGCACAACTGACGGCCGTCTCTACGATGTCCTCATCAAGGAGAATCCATTTGGGATTGAAATTCGCAGGAAGAGTACAGGCACTGTGATGTAAGTGGGCCCTGGTCTGACTCTGACTTCCTGCTTTCCTAAACATTCCTCACAAGCTCATTGTCATTGCAGACACCTGGCTCAGAGCCTCAGATGCCCCTGTTCAGATCCTTGATGTATTTTTTCCCTTCTATGCCTGTGATAAAAAGCCACAGCTAACACGACTTATAGAAGAGTTTATTTAACTTTCTGGCTTCAGAAGGCTGGAGTGAATGGTGGTGAAGTGGATGCAGGAGGCAGACAGGCCAGCAGGACAGCTGAGTGCTCACATCTTGACTGCAAACAGGAAAAAGAAAGCAAACCTGGAATGGTGTGAGCTTTGAATCCAAAGCCTATTCTGAGTGACATACGATCTTTACCAAGGCCACACCTCCAAAATAGTTCCCGAATAGTGACCAAATGGGGACCAAGTATTGAAATAACTGGGACTATGAGGGATATCTCATCCAATCACCACACACAAGGGAGTGCTTTCTGTTCTTAGAGGAACTGTGAAAATGACAACTAAGGAATTTGCATGTCCGAGGGTAGTATTGAACAAGTATTTTCTGAATTCTTTCTGTATATTAGGCTATCTTCTGGCACTGTGATTGTAGACAGGTGTGCTATTTCTTCCATTAAACAAAGTATAAAGTGTACTTTAAGGAGTAATTTGATGCAGCGATACTTGCTATGGTGGAAAAAATCAGGGAAACCAGGTTATTTTCTGACTTAGAGACCACGATCTCGGTTGTGTCTCTGAGGATGACGTGATGTTTGCAAAGGAACATTTGTGACAGAATGATATGTCAAGAGCTGGAGGAAATTTGTCTGTTACAGTAGAGAGATCACCAGAGGTAATAGTGAGGGTAGATATGGGAGACAAAGTAGGTGTGTGAGGTGTGATTTACAACAGGAGCAGCCCTGAAGGGTCCTCAGATGCTCTCAGGAGGGAGGAGGGAGCTTGGGAGCAGGAGTGTGAGGTGGTGTGAGGTGCTCATCTCACATCCTGGATACATGTTGGACGTGGACCACCAGGGGTCATCAAGAGCAGAGGGCATAGTGAGTTTGGGGGGGTAAAGTGAAAGAATTGAATTTGTTACTGTGGATGTCAGTAAAGGGAATGATACAGTACAGGAGAATTAATGGTGACTCAATCCTTTAGCAATGGTGACTGTTTTAGCCACTAACTAACTACTCTTGCTTGTTTTGTTGGGAGGACAATCTAGCTCTGGTGGTATGAGGAGGATCCAGAGCTCTGTTGTCCTCAGGAAGGCAGCAGTTGTAACCTCCTGGGACCCTGGCTTTCTTTTGTAAACGTCCCTTCTCCCCCTGCAGCTGGGACTCTCAGCTCCTTGGCTTCACCTTCAATGACATGTTTATCCGCATCTCCACCCGCCTGCCCTCCACACACATCTATGGCTTTGGGGAAACTGAGCACACAAGCTTCAAGATAGACCTGAACTGGCACACGTGGGGCATGTTTTCCAGGGACGAGCCCCCGGGGGTAAGCACAGGGCTTGTGGTCTGTGTTCTGTCCTCTCCATCCACACTGTGTGTCTTGGGCTTCTTCTTTCCAGACTCCACGTGATTGTTGCCTTGCACTGCCAGGCAGATGGACATGTTTTTAAGCTCCCTTTCCCTCTCCTGTTGTTACCAGGAGAATCTTGACTCAGTGTAACAGTCAAGTTTCTCTTGAGTTTCTCCCATGCATCCAGTCTCCTAACCTCTTTTCCCTGCTCCTCTCAGTACAAGAAGAATTCCTATGGTGTCCATCCTTACTACATGGGGCTAGAGGAGGATGGCAATGCCCACGGAGTCCTCCTGCTGAACAGCAATGCCATGGGTAGGATGAACCTGTGTCCCTTATTGTTTGCTAATGATTCTGGAATTGTTTATATAATTTGCTATAGCTGTCACTATTGAAAAAATTATAACCTTTGTGGATCAGTTTTTCCTTTCCTTGACCATTTATGTATATTTTAATTATATAAAATTTCCCCAACCATTTTCTCTAATGCAGCTAGTGAGAGCTTTCCTTTAACATTTTCAATTCTAGATGCACCTACTCCTGAATGTGTGCTGCCAGGGTCTTCAAATTGAAGAGAGAGAGAGAAAGTGGGGATTCCAGGGTTAATGTTCTCAAATGAAGTGTTTCAGTTACATTTTCATGTGTTTTCAGATGTGACATTCCAACCCCTGCCTGCACTAACATACAGAACCACAGGGGGCATTCTGGACTTCTATGTGTTCTTGGGCCCAACTCCAGAGCTTGTCACTCAGCAATACACAGAGGTAGGAAGGAATGCGTTTATGAAGTGTGTGTGTGTGTGTGTGTATATACACTCATAATGTGTTCCAATCCTGCCATACAGGATTGCCATATTATAAAATGTGTTTCAATCCTGCCATACAGGATTTCCATATACTGTGACTCATATGGTACCTGAATTTGATGGTCTTTCTCAGAAGAAGTTATAATATGGAATATTGGAGAGCGGATATGTAACAGGGATAAATAAAAGACCCAGAGACTCATATTGGGGTTCAAACTTCAAGCTGAATATCAGGAGAGCAAGGCAGCTGGTCACTAGCTTCCTACCTCTATCTCAGACTGAATGGGCAGATCCTATCTCTATAAGCTCTCCCCAAGCCTCAGACTCGTAACCTTTCCTCAGAGTGGCTGGAGAATGAATTCTTGCTTCTGTCTTATATGCTACCCTAATGTTGGGATTAAAGGTGTGAGCTATAATTCTCTTAGACTGATTCATTCTTCTGTAGATCTGGGTGGCCTGGGACTCACAGAAATCTACCTCTTATTCCTGAGTCCTAGGATTAAACGTGTGTAACACCACCTCCTAGCATCTGGCTGATGGGATTAAAGGTGTGTGCCACCACTGCCTGATCTCTATAGCTTGAGGCTGAGTTTCTCTGAATCCTCACTCAAGCTTTAATACATCATAAGTAATACATGGATATATTCCTATAACTATTAAATCCTGTTTTCTCCACATATTGCAGTGTATAAATTATTGTGGTAACTATTGGTGAGTCTGGTGTGGTGCGGAGCTGTGGTAGTAGAGATCTTGGTGATGTGGTGAGGGATGCTGGTCTAGACTTTAGTGGCAGTATCATTTGTGAAAGTGATTGTGAGGATGGAGACAGTTATGGTGAAAAGGGTAGAGAGGAAGATAGGACATAAGGTGAACATGAAAGTGACTGAGTGGAGTTGGTATTGGGAGCTGAGAGAGTAAGGTCATGATGGTGACAGTCTTGGCAGATACGATAGTTTTGGTAGCAGTAGGGTTGACTGCGGTGGCAATGAGGGTTATCCTGAGGGTGAATATTGCATCATGACATTGTCACAGCATGTGGTGACTGAGACGATGATTGTGCTTGTGGTGATGATGGTGGGAATTATGGTCATGGGAAATAATAACATTGCTGGTGACATCAACAAACGTTTGAAATATCTATTGTGTCTATTACTTAGTGCATGTGAGAGTGTGTCACACATAGTAAGTTAGTTACTCAGTCAAACAATGGGTGACAGCGCTTACTATTTAGCTCTGATTTACAGGTAAAGAAACAAGCACAGAAATCACACATACCTGCCTAAGGTCACACAATCAGCAAGACTGTACTCTAAGTTATTTCTCTTGGTGTTGTGTGCTTTTAGTATCTCAGTTATATCTCTAGACATCTGAGTAAAATCAGGTTTTCCAGAATTCCTGGAAAGTGTGCTCTGAGAAGCTGTAGGCTTTCTGTAGTGTATACCTGGAACTCCACACAGCACTCTACTTAGTCTCTGGGTTTGAATTTGGTGTCTAATTAGAGTAAAATATTCTGACGTCACATCTAACTTCTAACCAGCTTCTCCTCTAACATTCTAACACTTCCTTTCTGTTTTCTAGTTGATTGGTCGGCCAGTGATGGTACCTTACTGGTCCCTGGGATTCCAGCTGTGTCGCTATGGATATGAGAATGACACTGAGATCGCCAGCTTGTATGATGAGATGGTGGCTAAGCAGATCCCCTATGTATGTGCATCTGTTGAGGATTTGTTTGTCAGATTTAAATGTGGTTTTAAAATGCTATACTGTGCTTTCTCATGTCACACTGAGCCTAGACCATCCATAGTGATTTAGGGAAGACCACTGCCCTCATAAGTATGGTGGCTTAGAATAACAAGGAGGAGCTAAGCCTGGTTCATGGGTGCTGCCTCCTCTACCAGGCTTTCCTCTGTTTTTGACGGACTTCAATATATTTATCTATACTGTCCTTGCTGACATGATCATAGAACACCACTCCAATACTAGTTTTACTTAATTAAGGAAATTAAACCCAAAGTCAGTGAATCTGTCCCCTCTGAGGACTGCTTTCTTGGGCCTAGTACAGCACAATGAATGCTTCCTGATCTCAGAGCTTCTCACTGGCTCCATGCTGGAATCCTGTATTGAGTTGGTAGTGGAATCACTTACAGAAACAGCCACATTCACTCAAAACCAGAGGCCTATCATGTTGTAATCCTTTGTGTTTGTCTTGTACATATTGTTCTGTGTTGCATTAGTGCAGAGCACTTCCTGTAGCACAGAGTTTTCAGTTTTTGGTTGTGACCTTTTTTGGGGTGTCATATGACACTTTCACAGGGGTCACCTAAGGTCATTGGAATGCACAGGTATTTACATTATAATCTATTACAATACACTGGGTCCCCTACAGTGAGGACTGTTTTGGTTTTGATTCTTTCATAGGAGACCTATGATCTGAATCATATTAGGACTGAATAGATGACATTATTTTCCATAAACACACATCACTGATTTCAGGACATACTCATAAAGTCAAAGCACTTTCTCCTACGGTGTTCCTATTTTTTTTTTTTACAACAGTCTTAAAGATACTCATCTTAAACTTTTTGTTGATATTGAAATTTTTTTTTTCTGTTTCTGAGTGAAATTTTTAAAAATTGGTCCAAGATCCCTAGGTAGAATATGTCATAAACAGCGGTTTAAATACCAGATACAAGGTGTGGTAACTGCCAGAGCCTGAGCGTTCCCACAGCAGCCACACTTTCTTGTGTCCTCCCAGGACGTGCAGTACTCAGACATCGACTACATGGAGAGGCAGCTGGACTTCACCCTCAGCCCCAAGTTCTCTGGGCTCCCAGACCTGATCAATCGCATGAAGAGAGATGGGATGCGGGTCATCCTCATTCTGGTGAGTCCTTGTGTGAATGTGCAGGCTGCACTTGGGACCATGGATGGGCCTGTGTGGGGACCTCCTTAGAATGTCTGTCCTTTCCAGTTCTCAGAGAGAAATAAAAGTGCAATTACTATAAGTGCATTCCCTGGGTGTCACGGAATCTCTATAGTGAAAATTGCAATTGGGGACTTCACTTTTCTACCCTATCTTGTTTGTCATAATCTGTCTAAATTTTCCACCTGCCTTGTGCTCTGCTTTCAGGACCCAGCTATTTCTGGCAATGAGACAGAGCCCTATCCTGCCTTCACCCGAGGTCTACAGGAGGACGTCTTTATCAGATATCCCAATGGTGGAGACATTGTCTGGGGAAAGGTATGAGCTGAGTGTTGATCCAGGGATCCTCACCCTCTGTTAGAGACACAGTTAGTGGTTTTCAGGAATGTTGATTTTGTGCCTGTTATTTTGTTTTCTGTAAATACCTGCTAATAGGCTTAAGGGCTTTGTGGAATCTGTTCTCGATGGTACCTGGCAACTATTATTCTTAGAACCTTTGCTTTTTGTTTCCTAAGAAATTATTTCTATGAAAATTCGTTCAGAACATTGTTCTTAAATCTTTTCTCTCCATAGGTGTGGCCTGATTACCCTGGTATTGTGGTGAACAGCTCTCTAGACTGGGACAGTCAAGTGGAGGTAAAAGACCCTTTGTGGATGCTGGATGTAGTCAGGTTGCCAGGAAGAGACAGTCATGTCTAGGTTACTAGATGTGTCCTCCTTTATGACAGACGCATGTGAGACTCTCAGTCTGAGACCCATTATTTTATGTGAAGCAGTGTCTCCTTCAAGCTGTGATGTCCGCATTATTGACCTTGGGGCTTAAGACTCAGTGTGTCACATTTCACGCCATAGTTTCCATGTCACAGGGCAATTTCCAGTCCACAGCTGTCAGTTCCTGAGGGCTAATAACTCAACTAGTTGCTACCTCTAAGAATACTGTCATTTCTTCCTACAAAACAGTTTCTGGACTTTGTCCTTGGTTGTGGAATCTTTTTTCTCTGTGTACATTTATGTTCAAACATTGGCTGCTCCTATCCACACATTATTTTGGCACTACCCTTCCATCCTTCATTGAGTCTATAGAGTTTGCTTTTGCCTTTATTTGTAGTCTCATATTGTTGATTTTATATCTTCTATGAACAGGCTTTTCCATTTAATGGAACCAATAGTCAAGATTCCAGCCCTATTTTTTCTCATCTTCATTTGCATCTGTTGCTTGTATGAATAAATTCATTGACACAACTGGCAAGAGAAGCATCAGGCACTCCTCTTTCTAAGATGTTTATCTGAAGCCCTGAGGCAGCCTGTTCATTATTCTAGGAGTTTTTCTGGTATACCTTTGAGCAGTGTTCACATGGTTGGGTGGTTGCCCTCTTTGAAATACAATATTTGCTGGACCTTTAACTCTTCCTTAACCATGATCCTAATTGAGGGACTGGAATTGTATCAGTATGTGTGCTTGGGAAGTAAGTGTAAGACAGTCCTAGTTTACTAGACATGTATGAAGGTTTAGCTGATCACGAAGCTGTCCTATTCATGTTTCACAGGGTACAGCTGAGAGATCTAGACAGCCTGTTGGGTTTAAGCATTAATCAAAAAAGTCCCTATTTTTGATACAAGCATGGAAGATTTAAATTTAAGTTTTAACCACACAAAGCCCAGGAATCCTGGACTACTCCATTGCAAACAATGCAATGGTTTCCAGATGCTGCGAAGGTGTATTATTTGTTCTTGTCAGTCTTTAAATATTTTTCTGATAAGTCAAGAATGTTAAATTGCATAGGCTCTATTCCGACTATCACTATACACAACTATGGAGATAAAAGAATTAATTAAGTTCTTAGTGTCTGCTTCCTATATAATATATTCATTTAAAATAAGTGGATTGTATCATCATTTGACAGCTATATCGAGCTTATGTGGCCTTCCCAGACTTTTTCCGTAATTCAACTGTCACGTGGTGGAAGAAGGAGATTGAAGAACTCCACACAAACCAACAGAATCCAACCAAGAGCTTGAAGTTTGATGGCCTGTGGATTGTAAGTGTGCATAGATGTGTCTGTGTGTACATGGATATGGGTGTGTTTGTGTGTGTATGTGTTGTTGTGAGCATGTGGATTCATGATGTTAGCCTAGTTGATTATAATTTCAGAAAAAGAGTTTAGATAGCAAAGTGGGAATCATCCAATCAAACTTAGAATTGTCCCTGCTTAGTACATGGGAACCCTCCTGAAGTTCCTGTTTTAAAACCTTCATAACAGTTAGTGGGAAATCCTTAGAGCATTGGTTGTCCTAGGGGAAAAATTAAGTCATCTGGACTGTCATGCTGAGGGTAGATGTTTTTCCTAGCCTGTGCTTCCCCTGTAGTTCATCATCCTCTCTGGGTAGCACTGAAAGAGATGCTAGATACTGAATGTGTGACTATTTCTTTGTTTCTGAATTGACAGAACTTAAGTATCTTTATTTTTAAGCCATAATCTCACTATTTGTAGGATATGAATGAACCTTCCAGCTTTGTGAATGGGGCAGTTCCTCCAGGCTGCAGCGATGCTACCCTGAACCGTCCTCCCTACATGCCACGTAAGGACCTTGGAATCTCTTTCCTTTTTTCTCAGTGCCTGCAAGAAAGATGAGCTGAGTATTTTTGTGTTACCATAACCACCATGGCACCTCCTCACCATTAATTTGGTTTCATATGTCCTAAGTCAAAAGCATGTCATATTATCCAACTGGGGACATTAGAAAATTTTTTGAATTTGTTCACACTGTGATAATGTTTCTGCGGTGTGATAACTTACAGAATGTCTTTTTGAATGATGATGTACAATGAAGTGTCTTCTCTTCTTCATGGACCGGGTGGATTCGGAGTGATGCATGTTTATAGCTTAGCTCCTTAGACTATGCCTTTTCTGAGTTGTGTGACCTTCCAAAGACATTAGCAAATTTAAGTTTCCTAAAGTGTGAGAGGCAGACAACATTTTCCACTCACAGAAATATGATAAAATGATATGAAATAACTTGTGCATTAAAAACTAAAAACTTATGGTACTGGAAGGCTGGTTCATCAGTTAAGAGTGAAAATGCCATCCTAACAGAGGACTCATGTCCAGTGACTCAAAGTCACTGAGAACTCCAGCTCCAGAGTATTAGATGCTTCCTTCTGTTGGCTTCAGGCAACCCCTCTCCCTTACACACAGACACACACACATGCGCACACACACATACACAAATAAATCTTTTAAGGAAGCTTATACTAGGATCTGCCCCATAGTGCACACTTGACAACCTGTGTCCCTCCCCCCTCCATTCTCTTCAGTGAATTTGATGCTGAAAATGCCTTCAGTCACCTTACTACTCAGAGAAGGCTACTGTTCTTATGCTCTTGGGAGGTAGAGTGGGACCCAGGCAGAGGATGTTAGTCAAGAATTAAGAGTCAAGGCTGATCTTCACTGAGGTTGATTTTTTCCCCTCAGATTTGGAAGCCAGGGACAGGGGCCTGAGCAGCAAGACTCTGTGCATGGAGAGTGAGCAGATCCTTCCAGATGGCTCCCGGGTGCGGCACTATGATGTGCACAGCCTGTATGGGTGGTCCCAGACCAGACCCACCTATGAGTGAGTGACCCTCTCTCTCCTTTCTCCTATTGGTACTACTTCTGTGATGGGTTTTGTAGCTTCTCTACTTTTGTATCCATTTTCCTGTCCCTAGGTTTAAGTATAATGTAAGTGTAATGTAACCAAGTAACAGTTCTTACTGGTTAAGCCATCTCTCTGTAATCATGAAGTCAGCCCTGTGAGGAAATCTATAGTTCTCTTGAGCATACCCACAGGCATCCTACACATCATTCTGCAGTGTAGCCAGGGCTGTGGTATCATTGGTCCAAGAGGACAGAGGTAACTGAGGACTAGAAGCCTCATTCCTTTGTGTTGAACGTGAGTCATCTCTTTAGGTCTTTGATTTTCTTTAGCTACTCATGTTGGATAATCAGCTGGTGTTTTGTTGAAGTAGCTATCACATTCACAATGTGAGCCAAAAGAAAAATAATATTCAAATAAAGAATGTCAAGCATGTGCTTAAAAAAAAAAAAAAACACAACCAGATCATGTGAGTACTCACTATTTGGGGACATGAATTGTCACATGGTGAGATACTTTGAAAACAACTGTGCAAAGGCTTTACTTACCACCGTTCTTATCCCATTAACCAACCAGATCTCTTCTAAAGGGTTGTTTCTCTATTCTTTCTAGTCATACAAAACAGATTTTGTCACAATGTTCTAAGAGAAAGAGTTCTGGGGAGGAAGCTCTATTGACTTCCTTCCATTGTTCTGCCTTTAACTTTTTTCTTGTTTCCCCAATCAGAGCTGTTCAGGAGGTGACAGGAGAGAGAGGGATTGTCATCACACGCTCCACATTCCCCTCTTCTGGACAATGGGCAGGACACTGGCTGGGAGATAACACAGCTGCCTGGGACCAGCTGGGGAAATCCATCATTGGTGTGTGGGTTGTGTCCAGGGGCCTCTGCTGCCGGTGAATGGAGTGGGGTGTAGGATCTTTGGTGAGGTGGAAGGAGGAGGAAGAGGAGGAGGAGGAGGAGGAGGAGGAGGAGTGCCTGTCCTGATCCTGCTGTATCTCTCCTTGCAGGCATGATGGAGTTCAGTCTCTTTGGCATCTCCTATGTAAGTGCTCTTGCAATCTCCTCCTCCCTAGGAAGGGGGCAGCATCTCTCAGAAAACACCAAAGCTCACTTGGTTCCTTGTTGTTTCAGACCGGGTCAGACATCTGTGGGTTCTTTCAAGATGCTGAGTATGAGATGTGTGTTCGCTGGATGCAGCTGGGAGCCTTTTACCCCTTCTCCAGGAACCACAACACCATTGGGACCAGGGTAGGATGTCAGCTTCCTTGTCTATATTATGTCACTGGAAATGCTACCTCAGTTTCTGAGAACAGTCCTGCTGCCTGTGTTCCCTAGGACAGCTGCAAAGCCATTAATCCTCTTCCTCTAAACCATAGTCTCCAATATAATTTTGATGACTTTTTGCTTAGGGACTGTTTTCCATTATATCTCATAAAGAATGCCTTACAATTTTTGTCTGATAGAATTTTGTTGATATTTGCTAGTCCATTAAAAATATTCTAAGAGTCCTATTCATCCCATTCATCGTTTTCTAAAGTTTATGGTATGTTAGATGTGTGATATGCCATTCAAATAGGTTTGCAATGACCTTGAATTCCTTTGTTGTCTCTTATGGACTTTGAACACTTTTCTTCTGGTGCTTTAGAGACAAGACCCTGTATCCTGGGATGAAGCCTTTGAGGATATTTCCAGAAGTGTGCTGGAGACCAGATACACCCTGTTGCCATATCTCTACACCTTGATGTACAAGGCCCACACGGAGGGCAGCACAGTTGTGCGGCCTCTTCTCCACGAGTAAGTGTTGAGGTGGATTTGTGTTGAACAATGGGCAATGTATTTAACCTGTGAGGTGGGAGTTGATGAAAACAATTCTTCTGCTCTAAAGGTGTGACTCTCTTTTGCCAATATTGCCCCAGTAGGTGCCATTCTTTACTCAGTCCTTCTGTGTCTGCTTGCCACAGGTCTTGAATGAAATTCCACCTATTGAATATAAAATTATTAGAAAAGATCCAGCATCCCATAGCATAATTTCTCTTCTTGTGAGCCCCCCTTTTTAAAACTTCATTTCTGTAATATAGACCAATGTTTGTTCCAGGTCACCTCCAGGAGCATTCCAGTAAAGATTTAAGAACAAAAAGCATTTTTGCACTTAGATGTGCAATGATAAAGAAATTGTCCACACTCACATTTTTGGACGGTTTCTGAAGGTTTGGAAGCGTGACACATAGGCAGATTGGGAGTTTAATCCCCTCTGTCCTGTGCAGAGAGTACAGGAGGCAGAGGGCAATAGGATCTCTCATATGCTTCCTAACTCACGCATTTCTTCGGGGCATTAAGCCAAAACCCTCTTTGGTCTGATTGTGTCATCTTCAATTCTCTCTTCAGATTTGTGTCAGACAAAGAGACCTGGAATATAGACAAACAGTTCCTCCTCGGTCCAGCCTTCCTGATCAGCCCTGTTCTGGAGCCCGTGAGTATGGAAACCTCTGAGAATTGGAGGATCCCAGGTGGTAGGCTGAGGGAATATAGAGAAGGAAGTCTGGTGTGAACCAGATCTGGAGACCAAGTGTTTTATTCTACATTCCTCTCTTGTGGTTCCTCAGCGTAGGATTCTGTGTCTTAAGTTTTCTGCCCTCAATTCCTTTTTTACATCAGCCCCGTAATTCCAGTTTACAGAACAGTCAAGGTGAAAATAGCTTCATGGTTTATTAAAGTGAACAGTGTGGGATCAGGTGTGGGTAGTAGTAGTGTGAAGATTCTTTACGGCCCCTGTCACTTTTAGCTGAGATGTTCAGAACTGCTTGTAGCAATGTGTGTCACCTTGTGGCTGGTGGCTAGCTCTTTGCTTCCTTATACACGTGGTTATACATGTGGCAACAGACATTCTGTTATTTCTGTGCCCCTATGAGCATTTCACTAAACAGAGAAGCTAATTAAATCATCTCCAAATACTTGTGAACCTGCAGACATTTTTTCCTGCTCTATGCCTAACCTTGGGTATGTGTGTTTAGAGAGAGGATGGGTAAGGTTTCAAGCAGGAGGCGGCCATTTCTTTGAAGTCTTGCTCTCCAAAGGGCCTTAATGAAGGTACTGGTTTTTGTTAGGCAGTTTCCACGCTTGGAAACCTGGGAAGAAAACAGGGTTTCTCAGCATTGGAGATCTTTAGGAAGTTGAGGCACACATATCCATCTCCATCTCTATCTTTTATGCCAGGGTACATTGCAGGTTGCTTACTCTGTCTCTGAATGCAGCACCCACACCCAGTCTCTGTTTATTTTCAGAATGCTCGAAACGTCAGCGCGTACTTCCCCACAGCCCTCTGGTATGACTACTACACGGTAAGTTTGCTAAATGTTCATATAACCCAGCAGTGTGAAAGTTCAACAGCCCTGAGGGTGACAGACTCAGCAGATAACAGGCCAAATCCTCACACTGGAAATCACCTGCTGTGGTCTAGCATGGGTCACTCAACCCTTGTAAGCTGCCTTCTCACTTCCTGTTTGGACCAGACAAGTGCCAGTCACTCTTTTAGAGAAGTGCTGTGAAGTGACATGTAATCCTACAGTCTGGTGCCTGGCGCATTGTGAATGCGTCTCTCCTCATGTCACTGTTAGCCATACGGTGAAGGCACTAGCGAGCTCTCTTTCCAATATCAGAAAGCACTTAAGAGTAATGTTAGATCTCATTTCTGTTTATGTGAGTGTGCCCTCACGGAGAACCTTTCCCCTCTATATTTAAGTGTCTGCTGTTTCTGCACAGATGCTAAAGAATTGCTCCATGTGATTAGCTAAGATACGTGAGACAGTGTTGCCAACTAAAAGCAAAGATTTTATTCCAAATAGAACGTGAAGTCATTTATTCAGGGCTGAGTTTGAGTGACTACGGCCTGGGATCAGGGATTCGAGTTGCCCCAAATGACATGCTACACTGTGGAAGCAGAAACATAAACTTTTTATAGTCACATAGCAAGAGAAATCTGTAAGGTAATAGCACTATCAAATAAGTTGTGATCCTAGTGCTGGAGAGACAGACAAAGAGGATCCAGCCAGTCTAGCAAATCAGTAACCCTGGGTTCAGTGAGAGAACCTTTCTTAAAAACTAACCAACAAATAAATAAACAAGGCGGAGAGAATGATGAAGATAGCAATCTGGCCTATGCATGTTTAAGATTGTGGGCACACACACACACACACACACACACACACACACACACACACTAAAGCCCATGTACACATTCATATACAGCAGTGGTTCTCAACCTGTGGCTGGTGATCCCTTTGGGGCCAGATGACCCTTTCACAGGAGTCACATATCAGATATCCTGCCTATCAGATATTTATACTATGATTCAGAACAGCAGCAAAATTACAGTTATGAAGTAGCAACAAAAATAATTTTATGTTTGGGGGTCACAACAACATAAAGAATTGTATTAAAGGGTTGCAGCATTAGGAAAGTTGAGAAACACTGACATACAGCCATGTGTACATGTGCACACATATGAACACAAGTATACAGCACACACACACACACACACACACACACACACACACTAAGGCCCATGTACACACACACACACACACACACACACACACATACACACACACACACACACACACACACACACATACACACACACACACACACACACACACACACACTAAGGCCCATGTACACACACACACACACACACACACACACACACACTAGGATAACATCACAGAAAAGAACTTTTTAACCTAATTGTTAATAGTGCTGGCATTGACTGGCATCTGTTAGAGCTGAGAGGAGCACTGGACACATGCACCCATCATAACTCAGAAGTTACCTTCAATTGACAAGTGTCTTCAAATGAAAAATTAGTTTCCTTCAAGGGGGACCCACTTGAAAACAAATTACTCTTAAGAGTAGGTTACATGCCCTGCAATAGATGGCCAACAGAAATCAAACTCAACAGCATCTCATAATATACCAGATTTTACATTTTCAGTTTTCATTGTATGTTTGTATGTATGTGTATACGTATGTCTGTATATGTGCATTACCATATAGATTTAGGGTATATATTATGGCTTCTGGTTTCTGTGTTTTTATGGGATTCATGGTTGCGTGAACAAGTATGACTCTTCATCTATAGGTGTTTCTTGTGCTTTTTCTTGGGCTCTTCCTTCTGTGTCTTCTGTCTTATTCCATTTTTTTGCTTTATCTTATTATATTATGTTATTATCTTTTAGATGACTTTTTTCTAAGGATAGACATAAAGGGAGTAGATCCAGATAGAAGGGAAAGTAGGGAGGAACTGGCAGGCATAGAGAGAGGAGAAACTGTAATCAGAATATATTGTATGGAGATAAATCTATTTTCAATAAAAGAGAAAAATGCAAAGAAATGCCTGCATTATGAAGCCCTGCTGTGGTTGAGAAAATGTGAAAGAATTTTAGGTTGTGGCTCTGATGAGTGGGCATCTTTCACACGAGGCCCCGCAAAGGTGTTAAGTGTAAGACAGGAAAATCAGTTTAAGATAGTGATATGTAAATAAGTCTGCTCATACCCATCTTTGCAAGGGAGCATCTATCAATGTAGATAGGAACTTGGCCAGGTGGGAGTAAGGACAGCACATCCGCAGTCAACCAGAAATAAATGCAGATATTGCCCAGTGTCATCCTGAAGTACTTCGTACTTTCACAGTAGGTTGTAGGGTGAGGGTGTCCGGGGTTTACATGAGATCCTACAAAGGTCAGGGACTCTCATGGAGACTTAGAGAAGCACAGCCAGGCTGACACAGCAGCAGGTGGATGAACAAGGTATGAAAGCATGTGTGCGACAAATGGTGATGACGAGGCAGCAGGTTTAGGGAGGTGGATGGGCTGTGCTGCTCAGGGAGGGATGTGTGCATTTCCTCATCATTTCTTCTCCTTTTGACACCAGGGTGTAGCTATCAATTCAACAGGAGAGTGGAAGACCTTAGCAGCCCCTCTTGAGCACATCAATCTTCATGTCCGTGGGGGCTACATCCTGCCGTGGCAACGACCTGCCCTGAACACTCACTTAAGGTGAATAAGGAGCACACAGTTCTGCGTCACACACCTCTGAGCTCATTCTTTTGTTGAGAGTCACCGATCGATCTCTCCAGTATTGGCCTTAAGGCCAAAAGTCATTTTATTGAACTTAAATTTCTCTACTTTTTGTATTTTGTCTGCTTCCTCCAGCAGGCTTCTGTTGACCCCGAGATGCTGACACAATAGGCACAGTATAGAGGGAAGATACTTGATCTCTGTGTGGGTTGTTGTTGTGGGGCAGTCATCAAACTCTGCTCTTGGGTTTCCTGCAGTCTCCACCATAGGTTCTCTTGACAGAGAACTTCCCCTTGCTGGACTCAGAAAGACTTTCCTCCTGGTCTTTTTACTCATTTTGTTTTGAGAATAAATTGTAGTAGGCAACCCTGGCTTTCCCAGGGCTATCGACATTTTCACATTGTAAGTCTCATGAGTTGAGAAAACCCAGTTCTGAGCAGTCCCACACAGTATTCTTCCTACCTGACTTGGCCTGATGACCTAGCCATAGTTGTCTGTTCCAGCCTCACACTGTCTCTGATCTAGATTTGGGTTCCATTGACTATGCTCCTACAAACCTGGTTTCCTCTTTCTTATCAATAATTGAGCAGGTTTTTTCTTTTTAATTCATAATTGGATTTTAGCAACACAAACTCAAGTCTCACCCACTTCTCCTGAGCCACTGACTTTTTCTCATCTTTCTTTGCACAATTATAATTTTGTCTCTACAGAAGAGGTACTTGTTGGCATCCTTACAGGCTTCAAAGTTTAGCCCCAGTAGGTTTCAATAGACAGGGACTTCTTAGGAGGCTTGAAACCTCCCCCCCCTTTGAACCTCCCTCATTTTCTTAATATTTCAACTTATAGACTTTTATGAAAACATGACTAAATCTAATCACTGCTTTTCCTCATCCTTTCCCCCTCAGGTCAAATAACGCCAGTTTCAGGTCACTTTGTATACTGAGAGCAAATTTCTGCTTCAAAAATTAAAGTCTTGTTGCTCCCTAGCTTGACATTTGACCCCTTCAAGAACAGGATGCTCGTAGTCTATGGAAAGGAGATTCCAAGTTGACTTTGGCACCTCTATCTTTTTCAGTGTGTTAATAGTAGAGCTGGTTTTCACTGCCCCAAAGATGCTGTTCCTCCAATATAGCCAATTGTTTTGCTGCACTTGAGCTTATGCTTCTATGACCCTTGGCCTAATGACCAGGGTGTAGAACATACTAGGTAGGCAAGTGCTTTATCACTGTGTGATCTCAGTGTATCCCCCATCCATTTGCCTCCATTTCTAATTACACATTTCTCTATCATTGACACATACAGATTGTAACTTAATTCAAATCACCAAGATTCTTCCCTGGAGTAGCATGTCTAAAATGCCCTGGATCATAGCACCATAGTCTAGGATTTCTTCCTCTCTAATAACAACCTATATTGTCACTAGAGTGGCAGTTTTAATGGTAACTATGGCAGCAGTTCAGAAGTTCTAAGGCTTACATGTGTGCTCCCTTCCTAGATCTTTAAAATACTTCATCTTGTAAAATTTTTATTGGAGGAAGATACTTAGGATATTCTCCCTCTGCCCCTAAAGCAAAGAAGTCATATGTAACTGTCTAGTATCCTTCTCAGTTGAAATTTGATGCAAATGTTTGGCAAAATTCTTTGAGTCCTAAGGATTTGTGCCTTGTGTGAATCTTGTCCCCCACAGCCGGATGAACCCTCTTGGTCTTCTCATTGCCCTGGATGAGAACAAAGAAGCACGAGGAGAACTGTTCTGGGATGATGGGAAGTCAAAGGGTGAGTGCTGTGAGGGGTGTGGCCACTGCACACCTGCATGTCTCACTCTGTGCCTTCACCCCTGCTGGCCATTCTTCTGTGAGTGAAATATCACCAGGCATCCTAGAGCATCCTCCCAGGGAAAACGTGTGTTTCTGGATGGACTGGTCAGAGGCCATGAGGGATGAAGGGAGAACACTTTTTCTTCAACCCCCTCTCAATTCTCCTGTTGGCTAGACTCTCAATTTTATTAATAGACACTCAAGGGGCACAGTTTTATGACTGGTTCTTTAATTCATCTGCTTTGAAATATGTGTCACCCCCAAACCCAAATGTTGGTGACATGAAAACCGTACTCATGTCAGTATGAGGCAGTGAGCATACACACTCCCAGTGTCTATACACCAAACTGCTTTGGACACATCAGTTACTGTGAAGGAATCTTGTGGCCCTAACTTAGGAAATAGACCACTATGGAATACCTGCTTTGAAAAGATTTTCGGAGAGTTTTGCAGGGTTATGGTCATGAGGAGAAAGCAAAGCAATGGCTTGGACTTGTATAGTTTGTTCATAATTTTGTCATTCTCAAGATACAGTTTTAAACATCTTCGTTTTCTTTAAAAATGATAAATTGGCCAAGTTTGACTGTATTCAAGGTCTTCAACATATTCGTTGTTTGCTGATCACCTTCAATACGATCAACAGTGAAGACATTCATTCTCAACCACACTACCCCTTATCTCCCAGAATAACTCAATGTTATTATACTCTTGTAACGCAATGTCTCTGACCACTAAGCACCTTCCCTAATCCTCTGCCCCTTGGCAACTGCAGTGCCATGCACTTCTTTTGTAAAAATTCACATAAACATGTGGTGGGTAAGTACTTCTCTTACTGTCCTCCATGTCCATTGTGGTGTTATTGCCACCAGAGAAGACATGCAGCAGCCTGTGCTCACTGATGGGTAAATGAAGAGGTTGTGTTACTAGATTTAGTGGAATGTTAATCTGTCATAAAGACGTATGTCTTGGATTTTCAGAATGAACTGTCAGCTGTAAGGCGAGGAGATAAATGTGGCCTTTTGCAGTGACCGGGCCAGGCTGACTCATCTCTCTTTTGTTTTCAGATCTCACAACCAATAACATTCTATGTAAATTTTCAGTCACTCAAGTAAGTAGAATATTTTTAGGCATCTGAAGGGTGGCCTTTTATCTGAACATTAGCACCTATTGGCATGTGTTTGTGTGTGACTGCATTTTCAGGAATGACTATGGATGAGCACATCCTCATTTGTGACTTAATTCCCAGTAATGCCATCATTTGTGCTGTCAAAAGGAAGCAATAATATCCATAAATCAGAGCAAGTCATATTTTTCAATAGTTGTTTTATGAAGCTGGTGTCTTTATATAGTTATATAAAGTGTCTGTGTGTTCTCATTGTTTTTAGCCTAAATATGCATTAGTAGAGAAAACTCAAAGGCTGTTACAGCAGCTGAACATGTGATCAAGGATGGGCGTGTGGTCTAGGATGGGCTGGTGGTCTAGGATGGGCGTGTGGTCTAGGATGGGCGTGGTCTATAGGATGGGCGTGTGGTCTAGGATGGGCTGGTGTGGGCTAGGATGGGCGGGTGGTCTATGATGGGCAGGTGGTCTATGATGGGCAGGTGGTCTAGGATGGGCAGGTGGTCTAGGATGGGCACTTGAGGGCCTACAGAACCTCAGCCCATTAATTTGTGCATAATTATGCTTGATGTATTTCAGAACCACTTGGACGTGAGTGCCGTAGGATCAACCTTCTCGAACCCTGATGATTTAGCATTTCAGGAGATTAAAATTTTTGGAACACAGGTGCTTCACAATGTTACAGTGAAACACAATGGTGTCACAAGTCAGATGTCCCCTCAGGTCACTTATGATCCTAACATGAAGGTAAGTCTCTACTTTTGGTTGAGGCTTTTCAAATTGGCATGATGGTGACTCTTCCTGCTAAAGTCACTGGGTTTCTAAAAAGATGACAGTGCCTCTGAGGCCTGATGGGAAGGTCACACTATGAAGAAATATGATGACATTTGGGAGACAGTCTGAGCTGAAATGAGTCAGGGAGCTTGTGGAGCAAGAATGGTAAAGGCAAATGTTTTTGTTTTGCTTTTTATCTCTTAAGTGTCCTGCTTTCTTACTAACTTTATTAAAATATATAGATACATATAGTATATACATATATAATACACACTAACAAACATATATGCACACACACACACACACACACACACACACACACACACACACGAGTAGCGTAGAAAAGGAAGCTGGGGTTAGGTCAGACAAATGGGGATCTGAGAACTAACGGCCAGTGCTGAGGACTGATGAGCTAAATTTTTGAATTTTTTTTAAAGTTTTAGCTTTGTCAAGATTCTTTCTCCCCCTGCTTTCTTCAGTATTGAAACTCTCACTCCAACATACATATGTATTCTCACGGCACATTTAAGACAAAGTATTTGAAGATCTTACTCAAATGGTTATTTATTGGATTAGGGATAACAAATAATTCTTCATTGGAAAGTAATGCAACCTTATCCACCAGACAGAACTGTGTTACATTCCTCCACACCCCGATATAAGGAAAAATCCTCTCCCAGTAATCTTGAGCACATGTCGTGAACTGCTGGATTGCCATCAAATTTCGGGAAAATGAGTCAGTTTATAGTCTAGTGTAATGGCATGTTATCGTATGTGATGTTTTTTCTTGATAACACATATTCAGGACTCAGACACCATAACATACAGTGGTGTGTGGGTGGCTTTATATCTGTTGGTGTCAGAGCTTGCTGTTCAGAGTGGGTGATGGAGTTATAAACGTGATGTGTCAGATGAGATTCATTAGTTGAATATGACAAGACATCCCCAAAAGTTAAAAAAGCCTGAGCATTTTGTCCTTGTATTGAAATTAAGAGATGGAGAGTTACTGTCATGCACTGAGCAGCTGAGGGGTGTATGGATTGAGGCCCCTTCTTCTCTCGTGATTGCAAGTGGATGCTTGGTTCTGTCACAGCATCCCATTCCAGGAGAAATGAAAAGGGAAAACAAAATAAGCAGGAAGAAGAGACAGAAAAGAGAGGCCATTGGGGGTCACGCTGAGGGAGGAAATCCTTGAATGGAGAAAGGAACACTTGCCCAGCTGCTGTTGGTGACCTTGATGCTAACTTTTCAAAGCCAGAGCTGTAATTCACAGACTGTAAGGTAGCATCTCCTGAGAGCTTTTCTCTTCTAAAATGAGCTAGTACAGAAGGACACATGGTTTATGAATAAGACAACAGGAAGTATGTTCCAAAATGGGCCCCACTTGGCCATAAAAGGAAAGTAAAGCCATTCAAGTTGAGATGTAAAAATCAGCCAATCTAAGAACCGAGAATAGCCTCATACTATCACCCTGACAATGCTGTGTGTGTGTAGCATCAGGAACACTTAGTTCTAAGTGGAGATCAGTTTATTCTAGAGGAAACATGTGGTCAGATTTCGGAGGGTCTTAGGTGCTGAACTGCAAAGGCTGTACTTGATTTAGTTGCCAAAGAGTCTTACAGTGGTCCTTGAACCAAGGCCTTGTTAGAGATGGTGGTGGACAGTTGGAATTGGTAAGATGGTAAAGTGTCAGACAGGGAGGAGCCTGAGAGAAGCATGATGGTTCTTAAAATGTCACCTAAAAAAGTGAGAGGGTTAAAGAAAAGCCAAATATTAAAAAAAAATAGAGACACGTTGATTATTTATTTGATGAGTATGATATCAGAATGTTTGAAGATTTAAGCAGATGGGTTTGGATACGTGTTAGGTATGGAAGGAAATGTTATCATTTTTTTTACAACTCTCCAGTTTTATAATTGATTAAACTGAGATTCAATAAGTTCACTTAGTTTGTGTAAGATCCCATAGAACTGTGGGGATGGGAGCTGCCTCAGTTTCTTTCCTTGTTTTTGATAAAATGCACTGACAAGAGCAACTCATGAGGAAAACACTTACTCTGGCTTGTGGCTTAAAGGTATGGTCCATCACGATGGGAAAGTCAAGGTGTCAGGAACTAAGCATATGGTTGCATCACGTTCACAAACAGGAAGCCAAGAACCACGAATGAATACTGCTCCTCAGCCCAGTATGCCAGCCAGGAAGTACCACCACCCGCAATGGGCAGATATTCCCTCATCAACCAAAGCAACAGAGATTTTCTCCCACACGCATGGCCAGAGACGCATGCTCCAGGTCATTCCAGTGTATGGGAAGTTGGCAACACTAACCATTACAGGAACCTGGGCCTTTGATTGGCATTACACATTTTCTATGTGCCCCTCACGGGTAGGGACATTGCTTTGGGGAGTGAAGCACAAGAAACGAAGATAAATTCTAGAAGAGCAGAAAAGAGATTTTGTGACAAAAGGGACAGGTAGGTCAGGGAAGGAATGAAAAAGAATGGTCACAGCAACTGTTATTTGTCCCTGTTCTTCCCCAATATGATAGGGACGATTCTAATGGAGTAAGGGCACTGGCATTTCCCCGTCTCTGTTGATGGCCCCAGCATCAATACACAGGTCTTCCTGTAAGCCAGTCATACGCCTTGCGTTGTTGAGACTCTCTTCTCCTTTCCGCTCAGTTATCTAAAGGTATCCTCAGGTTGTGTAAGGATTTTGTCCCTAATGACGAATTTCTTGTGCCTTGTCCACCCTGACAGGTTGCAGTTATCACGGGCATCCAACTTCTGCTCAATGAATCATACACGGTGGAGTGGGAAGACAGCATAAAGGATGAGGAAAAGATGGACTGTTATCCCGATCAAACTGGGGCTTCCGAGGCAAGCTGCGCTGCCCGAGGCTGTATCTGGAAGGTAATCTAACTGAAAATGTGTGATATTTTATAAATGTTTCATGAGAACAACGTGTCAGTGTACTTTTGCATACACCGAAATCCACAGGGAGAAAGGACCTGTTCTGGAATCTGGGGAAGACTGGAGCTTAACTGGGGATAGGACTGGGATATTTTGAATAAGTACATTTCGTGAAGACCAACTATTAATATATATATATTAATATATATTTAAATAAATATATATTTAAATATATATATTTAAAATCACACACATGTGTGCCTACACACACACACACACACACACACACACACACACTTTTTTCATACAAATTGACCTTCCTAACTTTCTATTTGATAACTTCAGATCCTTGCTGATCTAGGATATTGACTTTCTTTTCAGGAATCCAACACTCCTGGGGTCCCTTATTGCTACTTTGTCAATGACCTGTACTCAGTCAGCAATGTTCAGCATCTTGAGAAGGAGGCCACAGCCAACATCTCCTTGAAGAATTCTCCTTATAGCAACGCCTTCCCGTCTACACCCGTGAAGCAACTGCAACTGAGCGTGGTCTACCACAAGAATGAAATGCTGCAGTTTAAGGTAAAGGCAGTGTGTGCAATCAGGTGTGCACAGGGCCTTTCCAGTCATGCTGCTCTTTGCTAGTTAAGACTACAGAACTTTAAAAGAAGTAGTGTGTTTAGATTTCCACAGTGAAATACACTGTATCTTAGCCAAATCCAGAGAGAAATAAGATCCTTTTTTGACAGTATTACGGAACATCAGCAGTTACTCTCTCACCTGCTTCTTAAATCCATTTCCTCTGGTCTAGATCTACGATCCCAACCACAGTCGGTATGAAGTCCCAGTGCCTCTGAATATCCCCAGTTCTCCGTCCAGCACAACTGACGGCCGTCTCTACGATGTCCTCATCAAGGAGAATCCATTTGGGATTGAAATTCGCAGGAAGAGTACAGGCACTGTGATGTAAGTGGGCCCTGGTCTGACTTGGACTTCCTGCTTTCCTAAGCATTCCTCACCAGGTCCATTGTCATTGCAGACAGCCTGACTTAAAGTGTCACAATACACATGACCACAACCATGGGGAAGCAATTTCCTCTTGGTCTGTCCTTAGGGGAAATCTTCAGTATCCTGAGGGTGATTACTAAGGCAGTTACAGAAGGAATAATATATCCAACAAATATTTCAGTACTTCCTTCTGGGTCTTAGGTGTTATTGTAAGACAATATATATAGGAAGCTCATGTGGCTGCAATCATGTTGTATAGGAAAATGGGCTTAACCAAGTAATAGGGAAGTCTCTACTTCTGATACTGTGGTGTGAATTTGTCTTTCTGGGAAGAAGTGTCACTTGAAATAGAACCTGGATGAGGAAGGGCCTTACATGGAGTTCCAGGTGGAGGGAGGGACATTTTTGATAGAAGGAAGATATGGAGCATAACACACAGCCAAGAAAGTAGGCATGTCAAGGAGCAGCATTTGGTGAAATCACTCAAGGATGAGAGTGGGAGAGAAAGCAAGGGTGTGAGGTGGGTTTTGTAAGCAGAGCAGTGCTGAAGCTCTGGGGAGAAATCACTGAGGAATATGGGCAGAGCTGTGACATGATGTGGTGTCTCTTCAGTCACAGTCCTGGATGCCTGCAGGAGGAGGGCCCTCAGGGAGCAGAAATGACAGGGCAGGTGTGAGTGATAGCAGTTGAGATGGCGAGGATGCTTGGATTTCCCCTGATGGAGAAGGCACTGGGGGAGGCAGAGATGGGAGGAAGATAGGTGAAGGCTGACTGTTGGACCATTAATGGGAGTGTTTGTGATTGCATTACGCAGATAGGTTTGTGTTTTGTTGGGAGGACAATCTAGCTCTGGTGGTACGAGGAGGATCCAGAGCTCTGTTGTCCTCAGGAAGGCAGCGGTTGTAACCTCCTGGGACCCTGGCTTTCTTTTGTAAACGTCCCTTCTCCCCCTGCAGCTGGGACTCTCAGCTCCTTGGCTTCACCTTCAATGACATGTTTATCCGCATCTCCACCCGCCTGCCCTCCACACACATCTATGGCTTTGGGGAAACTGAGCACACAAGCTTCAAGATAGACCTGAACTGGCACACGTGGGGCATGTTTTCCAGGGACGAGCCCCCGGGGGTAAGCACAGGGTTTGTGGTCTGTGTTCTGTCCTCTCCATCCACACTGTGTGTCTTGGGCTTCTTCTTTCCAGACTCCACGTGATTGTTGCCTTGCACTGCCAGGCAGATGGACATGTTTTTAAGCTCCCTTTCCCTCTCCTGTTGTTACCAGGAGAATCTTGACTCAATGTAACAGTCAAGTTTCTCTTGAGTTTCTTCCCATGCATCCAGTCTCCTAACCTCTTTTCCCTGTTCTTCTCAGTACAAGAAGAATTCCTATGGTGTCCATCCTTACTACATGGGGCTAGAGGAGGATGGCAATGCCCACGGAGTCCTCCTGCTGAACAGCAATGCCATGGGTAGGATGAACCTGTGTCCCTTATTGTTTGCTAATGATTCTTGCTTCACTTTAGAAAGTATTTGGCTTGGCTGTATTTTAAGCCCAAACTAGCATCTGTAGGAAAAAGTTTTTTTTTTTTTCCTCCTGCTTAGCATTCATCTTATACTAGAGATTTATTATTGCTATGCTTACTAAACTTTTGTTTGGCAACAATTACATGAGAAGGCATAGCAGAACCAACTGTCCCTAATTCCTGGGGGTCAGCTGGAGGTAATTGGCTATATCACTTAAATTACTGTCAAACTATTGGGTTAGAATATTGCCTCTGACAGAATGAGGGTAACAATATTTTGTATGCTACATAAAAGAGGGTCATAAAATCAAGTTCAGGAAATACACACTGTGGCTGGTAGTGAAGCAAATGTGATTTATAATGGAATTAATAGTTTCTCATCAGCGGACTTTTGGTAGTTTGGCAACAATGTTTCATTGTGGGAAGATATTGGAGGAGGACACTGAGATTCCCAGGGCTACTTTGATATTTCTTAAGAGTTTTATACTACTATGAAATAGAAGTTATGATAATTAAAAATTTCAGATTCTTAAAGAGTCTAATAAGGCCCATTAAAGGAATAGAATCCTGTAGGCTTTTTCTTCTTTTATTCTGTTGATTTAATATAGAATATCTGCCATCAATGTTCTAAGTTGGGAAGCAAGAGAAATACTCTCAAGTCTAGTTGGTTAAGCAGAAGGCTTTCATCTTTGTTGATATTTTCCTGTATTTTCAGACGTGACGTTCCAGCCCACGCCTGCTCTCACATACCGCACCACGGGGGGAGTTTTGGATTTTTATGTATTTTTGGGGCCAACTCCCGAACTTGTCACTCAGCAGTACACAGAGGTAGGAAGTTCATCTGATGGACATGTATTAATGTTAGCATGCCCTCTGCTTCCAGTCATGTGTTTATAAGCGTAATTCTCACATGCTAATTACCGTTGTTGCTTTAATTGAAAATGCTATCATAGAAAAGAAATGCATCCCAACAGCATGACTTCGTATCTTCTCTAACTGTTGTGGCAGTGTAGGGATATTTATAGGGTGGTGGTGGTGAGTTTAGTGGTAGTCTGGGTGTATGGTAACGGTGATAGGGAGGAGAGTGTTGGTAGCAGTGTTAGCAGTGTTGGTGGAAATCTTTTGTAAGGGGTGATGGATGTGTTGATGATTGTGGCAGTGGTGGCTATGCAGCTGATGACAGAGGAGGAGATAATGTCATTAGTGCTGGCAATTGTGACATTAGTTAGGGTCCTGATGGTCAGGGAACAATGACCATTATATTCGTGGCAGTGACAGTGTTGGGGTGAAAAGGAAATGTTAACTATGGCGGCGGCAGTCCAAACTCCCAGTGTCGGTTCACTTCACAAACATCAACGTATTCAATCCTGATTAAAAAAAATTGTGAGATAGAAACTACTTTTATCCATGTTTACAAGAGAAAAACTTTACTTAACTTTCCCTGTGGTCACACCTGCTAGAACTGGAACTGGTTTGCTAACTTAGGGATTTTACCTGGGGGTTTGTGCTCATAACCACTGCAGTAGACTTCACTTAAAGCTAGAGTACAGCAAGAGTTTTCAGAATTCCTCGAAAGTAAGCTCTAGACTGCCAGAAAGATTTTCTCAGGGTGTCATCAGGGCAGAGGGGTCTGTGTCCCCCGAATTTCTTTCTTAGAGTTCAATGTGTTGTCTAACTTGGGGTAGTCAAATATTCCCTTCTTTAAGTACAACCTGGGTTCTCCTTAAAAATACTAACACTTTCTGTCTGTTTTCTAGTTGATTGGTCGGCCAGTGATGGTACCTTACTGGTCCCTGGGATTCCAGCTGTGTCGCTATGGATATGAGAATGACACTGAGATCGCCAGCTTGTATGATGAGATGGTGGCTAAGCAGATCCCCTATGTATGTGCATCTGTTGAGGATTTGTTTGTCAGATTTAAGTGTGGTTTTAAAATGCTATACTGTGCTTTCTCATGTCACACTGAGCCTAGACCATCCATAGTGATTCAGGGGAGACCACTGCCCTCATAAATGTGGTGGCTTAGATTAACAAGGAGGAGCTAAGCCTGGTTCATGGATGCTGCCTCCTGTACCAGGCTTTCCTCTGCTTCTTGACTGACTTCAAGATATCTATCTATACTGGCCTTACTGACATATTGATAAATACCACTCCATATTAGTTTTGCCTGGTTAAGCTAACTTGACCCAAACTCAGGGAACACATTCAGTCTGAGGACTGCTTTCTTGGGCCTGGCACAGTACAGTGAATGCTCCCTGAGCTCTGAGCTTTTCATTGACTCCACAATGGAATCCTGTATTGAGTTTGTAGTGGAATCACATACAGAAACAGCCACATTCACTCAAAACAAGAGGTCCAACAATCAGAAATCATGTTGTGACCCTTTGTCTTGTATGTATTGTTCTGTGTTGCATTAGTGCAAAACACTTCGTGTAGCACAGTCGTTCTCAATTTATGGGTTGTGACCTCTTTTGGGGTGTCAAATGAGGATTTCATAGGGCTTAGCTTAGGTCATTGGGAAACACAGATATTTACATTATGACCCATTGCAGTACCAAAAGCAGGTATGAAGTATCAAGGGAAACAATTTTGGCATGGGGTCAACATATCTTGAGAACTGTATTAAAGGTCCCAGCATTAAGAGTGAGGACCACTGTTGTGACAGAGCATCTCACTGGGAATGCTGGATTTGATCATCTCCCTCACTGGGTCCCCTACAGTGAGGACTGTTTTAGTATTGATTATTTTACAGGAGACCTATGATCTGTATCATATTAGGACTGAATATTTGATATTATTTTCCATAAACACACATGACTGATATCAGGACACACTCATAGAGAAGGTCAAAGCATTTTTCTTCCTACAGTGTTTCTAATTTATTTTATAACAGTCTTAAAGATACTCATCTTAAACTTTTTGTTGATATTGAAATATTTTTTTTTCTGTTTCTGAGTGAAATCTTTAAAAATTGGTCCAAGATCCCTAGCTAGAATATGTCATAAACCGCAGTTTAAATACCAGACACAAGGTGTGGTAACTGCCAGAGCCTGAGCGTTCCCACAGCAGCCACACTTTCTTGTGTCCTCCCAGGACGTGCAGTACTCAGACATCGACTACATGGAGAGGCAGCTGGACTTCACCCTCAGCCCCAAGTTCTCTGGGCTCCCAGACCTGATCAATCGCATGAAGAGAGATGGGATGCGGGTCATCCTCATTCTGGTGAGTCCTTGTGTGAATGTGCAGGCTGCACTTGGGACCATGGATGGGCCTGTGTGGGGACCACCTTAGAATGTCTGTCCTTTCCAGTTCTCAGAGAGAAATAAAAGTGCAATTAATATAAGTATATTCCCTGGGAGTCACGGAATCTCTATAGTGAAAATTGCAATTGGGGACTTCACTTTTCTACCCTATCTTGTTTGTCATAATCTGTCTTAATTTTCCACCTGCCTTGTGCTCTGCTTTCAGGACCCAGCTATTTCTGGCAATGAGACAGAGCCCTATCCTGCCTTCACCCGAGGTCTACAGGAGGACGTCTTTATCAGATATCCCAATGGTGGAGACATTGTCTGGGGAAAGGTATGAGCTGTGTGTTGATTCAGGGATCCTCACCCTGGGCCAGAGACACTGTTAGTGCTCTTTAGAAATGTTGAGTTTGTGCCTGTTATGTTTGCTTTCTAAAGTTGTGGTTTTCTTCAGTTTATGTTTTCAGTTAATATCTACTCATATGCTTAAGGGCATTATTGAATCCATTCTCCTTTAGGCCAATCCTACCTGGCAACTATTAGTCCTAGAACCTTTGCTTTTAGTTTTCTAAGAAATTATTTGTATGAAAATTTGTTCAGGACATTGCTGTTAAATCTTTTCTCTCCATAGGTCTGGCCTGATTTCCCTGGTATTGTGGTGAACAGTTCTCTAGACTGGGACAGTCAAGTGGAGGTAAAAGGCCTTTTGTGGATGCTGGATGTAGTCAGGGTTGCCAGGAAGAGACAGTCATGTCTAGGGAACTATATGTGTCAACTCTTATGACAGATGCATGTGAGAATCACCTAGGAGCAATGTTTCTCCTGTCATTCTGAGACCCATTATTTTATGTGAAGTAGTGTCTCCTTCAAGCTGTGACGTCCACATTATTGACCATGGGGCTTAGGACTCAGTGTGTCAAGTTTCCTGAAATAGTTTCCATGTCACAGGGCAATTTCCAGTCCACAGCTGTCAGTTCCTGAGGGTTAATAACTCAACTAGTTGCTACCTCTAAGAATACTGTCATTTCTTCCTACAAAACAGTTTCTAGACTTTGTCCTCGGTTGTGGGATCTTTTTTCTCTGTGTATATTTATGTTCAAACACTGGCTGCTCCTATCCACACATTATTTTGGCACCACCCTTCCATCCTTCATTGAGTCTATGGAGTTTGCTTTTGCCTTTATTTGTAGTCTCATATTGTTGATTTTATATCTTCTATGAACAGGCTTTTCCATTTAATGGAACCAATAGTCAAGATTCCAGCCCTATTTTTTTCTCATCTTCACTTGCAGTTGTTGCTTGTATGAATAAATTCATTGACACAACTGGCAAGAGAAGCATCAGGCACTCCTCTTTCTAAGATGTTTATCTGATGCCCTCACACAGCCTGTTCATTATTCTAGGAGTTTTTCTGGTATACCTTTGAGCAGTGTTCACATGGTTGAGTGGTTGCCCTCTTTGAAATACAGTATTTGCTGGACCTTTAACTCTTCCTCAACCATGATCCTAATTGAGGAACTGGAATTGTATCAGTATGTGTGCTTGGGAAGTAAGTGTAAGACAGTCCTAGTGTACCAGACATGTGTGAAGGTTTAGCTGATCACGAAGCTGTCCCATTCATGGTTCACACGGTACAGCTGAGATCTAGAAAGCCTCTTAGGTTCAAGCATTAATCAGGTAAGTCCTCATTCTGAACACAAGCATCAAAGTTTTCAATTTAAGTTTTAACCACACAAAGCCCAGATTCTCCTTTCCCGTCCATTCTATACAATATAATGGTTCCAAATTCTGTGAATGTATATTATTTGTTCTTTTCAATCTTTATTCTTAATATTTTTCTGAATATTTAAAATTTATTTAGAATAAATATTATTCTGAAGTCAAGAATGTTATATTGCAGAGGTTCTATTCAGACTATTCCTATGCACAACTATGGAGACAGAAGAATTCATTAAGTGCTTATTAAATGTCTGCTTCCTGTATAATATATTCATTTACAATAACTGGATTTTATTGTCATTTGACAGCAATACAGAGCTTATGTGGCCTTCCCAGACTTTTTCCGTAATTCAACTGTCACGTGGTGGAAGAAGGAGATTGAAGAACTCCACACAAACCAACAGAATCCAACCAAGAGCTTGAAGTTTGATGGCCTGTGGATTGTAAGTGTGCATAGATGTGTCTGTGTGTACATGGATATGGGTGTGTTTGTGTGTGTATGTGTTGTTGTGAGCATGTAATCCATTACACTGGACAGTTGATACAATTTCAGTAAAAGAGTTCAGACATTGCAAAGTAGAAGTCATGCAATCAAAGTTAGAATTGTCCTCCATGTAGTAAGTGGTAACCCACCTGAATTTCCTGCTGTAAAACCTCCACAACAGTTAGTGGGAAATCCTTAGAACATGGGTTGTCCATGAAAAAATGAGGCCATCTGGACTGTCATGCTGAGGGTAGATGTTTTTCCTATCCTGTGCTTCCTCTCTGGGCAGCATTGATAGAGATGCTAGATACTGAACATGTGACTATTTCTTTGTTTCTGAATTGACAGAACTTAAGTATCTTTAAAAGTAAGCCATAATCTCACTATTTGTAGGATATGAATGAACCCTCCAGCTTTGTGAATGGGGCAGTTCCTCCAGGCTGCAGCGATGCTACTCTGAACCGTCCTCCCTACATGCCACGTAAGGACCTTGGGATCTCTTCCCTTGTTGCTCAGTGCCTGCAGGAAAGATGAGCTGAGCATCCTGGGGTTTCCATGACACCACGGCACCTCCCCCTAATTAATTTGGTTTAATATTGCCTAAGTCAAAAGCACATCATATTATCCAATTGGAGGCATTAGAAAATTTTTTGAATTTGTTCACACTGTGATAATGTCTCTGTGGTTTTGATAACTTACAGAATGTCTTTTTGAACCATGATGTACAATGAAGTGTCTTCCCTTCTTCATGGACCGGGTGGATTTGGAGTGATGCACGTTTATAACTTAGCTCCATACGCTATGCCTTTTCTGAGTTGTGTGACCTTCCAGAGACATTACCAAATCTAAATTTCCTAAAGAGTGAGAGGCAGACAACACTATCCACTCACAGAAATATGATAAAATATTTAATAATTTGTGCATTAAACGGTTATGGGACTCGAAGGGTGATTCAGCAGTTAAGAGTGAGAATGCCTTCCTAACAGAGGACTCATGGCAGGAGGCTCAAAACCACTGAGAACTCCAGCTCCAGAGTTTTAGATGCTTCCTTCTGCTGGCTGAAGGCAACTCCTCTCTTCCACACACACACACACACACACACACACACACACACACACACACACGAACCTTTTATGATGACCTGCCCCATTGTGCATACTTCACAACCTGTGTTCCTTCCACCCCTCCATTTTTTGGGGGGAATTTGATGCTGAAAATGCCTTCAGTCACCTTACTACTCAGAGAAGACTACTGTTCTTATGCTCCTGGGAAGCATAAGACCCAGGCAGAGAATGTTAGTCTTAATATCTTCTAAAAAGAGGTCAGCAATTTTCTTCACTGATTTTTGTATTCTTTCCCTCAGATTTGGAAGCCAGGGACAGGGGCCTGAGCAGCAAGACTCTGTGCATGGAGAGTGAGCAGATCCTTCCAGATGGCTCCCGGGTGCGGCACTATGATGTGCACAGCCTGTATGGGTGGTCCCAGACCAGACCCACCTACGTGTGAGTGACCCTCTCCTCTCTCCAGTTGATGGCACAACTAATCTAACTTTGTAAATTTTATTAAGCAAACAGTGTATGAGCATGTGACCACACACTGTGATTATAATTGGAAGCAAGATTTAAACAAGGTACCATTGCATCAGGGGGAAATATTGCTGGTGAGGACACACTCATCTGGGGACACTGGGTCATCACACAGTGTAGCAAGTGTCATTGGAAGTTGCCTTAGTTAGAGACAAACAGTAAAAGGACTGAAACTTCCCTCCTTTAGTTCAGAATTTGAAAATCTTTTTATATGCCTGTTATTTTATTGTTGTTTGTTTCTAATTATTATGGTCACTTTCATAAGATCGTTGATGGTTCTTTTATTGAATAACACCATATCATAATTATCTTATGGGAAGCTTTGCTATTTTCCTCCTTATATCCAGAAAGAAAAGTATTGGATAAATAACAAGAACCTTTATTTCAGGCCTACCTTTTGGTGACTACCTGGAGGTTCATCACATGATAATTTCTTTAAAGGATAAAAAGGCATGATAGCTGCTATTATCCTCATCAGTCAGCCAGCAGAATCTTCATAAATTAGATTTGCAGACTCCTCCAGATGTAGCAAACATTTTCCACTGTAAAAGGGTTTGGAGAAGAAACTTTATTGTCTTGCTTTGCTCTTCTTCAATATATGTTCTTGTTCCCCCAACCAGAGCTGTTCAGGAGGTGACAGGAGAGAGAGGGATTGTCATCACACGCTCCACATTCCCCTCTTCTGGACGCTGGGCAGGACACTGGCTGGGAGACAACACAGCTGCCTGGAACCAGCTGGGGAAGTCCATCATTGGTGTGTGGGTTGTGCCCAGGGGCCTCTGCTGCCCGTGAATGGAGTGGGGTGCAGGGTCTCTGTGTGGAGTGGGGTGCAGGATCTTTGGTGAGGTGGAAGGAGGAGGAAGAGGAGGAGGAGGAGGAGGACGAGGACGAGGACGAGGAGGATGAGGAGGATGAGAAGGAGTGCCTGTCCTGACCCTGCTGTATCTCTCTCTCCTTGCAGGCATGATGGAGTTCAGTCTCTTTGGCATCTCCTATGTAAGTGCTCTTGCAATCTCCTCCTCCCTAGGAAGGGGGCAGCATCTCTCAGAAAACACCAAAGCTCACTTGGTTCCTTGTTGTTTCAGACCGGGTCAGACATCTGTGGGTTCTTTCAAGATGCTGAGTATGAGATGTGTGTTCGCTGGATGCAGCTGGGAGCCTTTTACCCCTTCTCCAGGAACCACAACACCATTGGGACCAGGGTAGGATGTCAGCTTCCTTGTCTATATAATGCCACTGGAAATGCTACCTCAGTTTCTGAGAGCAGTCCTGCTGCCTGTGTTCCCTGGGACAGCTGCAAAGCCATTAATCCTCTTCCTATAAACCATAATCTCCAATATAATTTTGATGACTTTTTGCTTAGGGACTGTTTTCCATTATATCTCATAAAGAATGCCTTACAATTTTTGTCTGATAGAATTTTGTTGATATTTGCTAGTCCATTAAAAATATTCTAAGAGTCCTATTCATCCCATTCATCGTTTTCTAAAGTTTATGGTATGTTAGATGTGTGATATGCCATTCAAATAGGTTTGCAATGACCTTGAATTCCTTTGTTGTCTCTTATGGACTTTGAACACTTTTCTTCTGGTGCTTTAGAGACAAGACCCTGTATCCTGGGATGAAGCCTTTGAGGATATTTCCAGAAGTGTGCTGGAGACCAGATACACCCTGTTGCCATATCTCTACACCTTGATGTACAAGGCCCACACGGAGGGCAGCACAGTTGTGCGGCCTCTTCTCCATGAGTGAGTGTCCAGCTGCAATCCTGTTGGCCCATGGATAACTCATTCAACCTGCAGAGTGGGAGTTGATGTAACAATTCTTTCACATTGCGTATATCAATCCTATTTGGTATTTGGACATGCAAAGACAATCTTATTTTCTGTAGTTTATGTAGACCCAGGCCCAAATACATTCATGTCATTAAAGTAGGTATTCCAAGGGGGAATTTGAGGGATATTGGTCATCCTCATATTTAGACTCTGCTATGATGAAAAAGAATGGAGATGTTTTATAGAGCTGACATGCCCAAACACCTTCTGAAGTCGGAGAGAAGTGACTTGTTGGAAGTATGGTCTATGTGACCTGATCAAACTAGAGAGAATAAAGATGTTGCAGTATTCAGCTGCATTTGTGGCTCGGGTTCAGACTTGAGGATTGCTTCAGTGTCTTGTGATTTGATTGTGACACCTTAATTTCCCTTTTTAGGTTTGTGGCAGACCGGGAGACCTGGAATATAGACAGACAGTTCCTGCTGGGTCCAGCCTTCCTCATCAGCCCTGTGCTGGAGCCAGTGAGTATGGACACTGGGTAGGGGGACCCCAGCTGTTAGGCTGGGTAAACATGGAAAGGAGAAGGCCTGTGTGTTTGTTGGGGATTCTGAGATATTTCTCATTTCACTTTTTTTTCTTTTAAAAATTTCCTTCTTGTAATTGGGTCAAGAAACATTAAAATTTCTACTGGCAATTGAGGTAAAGCCAGACTACCCATGATACCCTGGGGCCAGAGCACCATGTCCTCTTATAGTAGAAAGCTCTACCTCTTGATTCTGTTAACTTGGACTCAAAGCTAAATCCTCAGGTGAAAGTTTCCTCACACTTGTTTCATCTTTTCTTTACATTGCCCTGCTGCTATAGTCAAGGTGGAGACAGATAGAAAATTCTCTCTTCCCAGTTATGGACAAAACTGCAACAAATATTTTTTCACCCACACCTGTTGCACTCGTTTTTTCTTGGAGCTGTGAAGAACCAACCCTAAATTCTATTAACTTTCTCAGCAAAATTAACCATTTAGGTGGCTACCCTCCGATTATCTCTCTCTACAGTTATCCTAACGATTCTGCTTCACAGCCCAGTGGAGAAGATAAATAACCTTGTGTTATATCTGAAGGTATAATCTTCCCCTTATTCAGCAGAATAAGGGGCTAATGGTCAGGCAGGGAGTGTATCAAAGGAAAATCCTTGCAAACAGTCAATCCTCTCAGCACTAAAACAAAGTTTGTTGAGCCAACAGCTTTGTAGCAGTGTGGTCACCTCACTGCTACTGGCTATCTCTTACCTCTTTATGGAAGGGGCCCTGGAAGCAGCTGAAGCCTTTTTATTGGATTTCTGACTAAAGACCAGCTACTTAATGTTCCCCATATCTTCCTATACCTAGAAATTTTTCTTTTGCTCGGTAGCCAAACAAGGATGTTTGTACCTCTAGAAGTGGACTAGACTGTTTTTAGTGTGATTCAAGTTGCCCTTTCTAAAGGGTATTGTGGGTGCAATTGATTAGGGAATTTCCCAGTTAAAGAGAGTAGGAGGAAGCAGTTTCCCGCCACGGCTGACCTCAGGGCAGTAAGACTCAAGGCTCTCACTACAGCTGTAACTTCTTCTCTGCATGCATTGGCTTCTCTGTCCTAGACAGCAGCTCCAATACAGACTCCTTGTTTGTGTTTAATTTCAGAATGCCAGAACTGTAGATGCATATTTTCCCAGAGCCCGCTGGTATGACTACTACACAGTAAGTTTCCTACATGTTAGCATTGCCTGACAAACAGTAGAGTACCAAGTCCTTGTATGTGACAAATCTCACACCAGCAGCCCCGGCCGGAAACCATGTGTGCTTGTCCTGCACAAGCCGTTTATTTCCTCTAGCGTATGTTCTCTCTTCTTCCACTGGGGTGACAGCAGGACCAGAGAGATAACGTGGCAAGCCTCTCAATCAGTGCCTGGCTCACGGCATGTGTTTTATTTACATGTGAATCTTATCTTTCTGTATGTCTTTACTGTATACACCAGTGGCTAGTTACTTCTTGTAATTGTGACATAAACCAATTTTTGCCTCTTGCATAGAAACCTTGCTTCTGTCTATTTACTAAATATCTGCATGTATTGTATAGCTCATTGTTTCTCAACCTTCCCGATGCTTCAGCCCTTTAATACAGTTCCTCATGTTGTGGTGAACCCCAACCATAAAGTTATTTTTGTTGCTACATAATAGTAATTTTGCTATGGCTATGAATCATAATATAAATATCTGTGTTTTCTGATGGTCTTAGTGACCTCTGTGAAAGGGCTGATTGTGTCAAAGGGGTTGTGTCCCACGGTTTGTGATCTGCTGGTTTAGATACTCAAAAACCGATCTTCCCTATAATTACCTAATAAATGAATCCTCAAATATGCATCCAAACAGCACATGATCACTTATAAAGACAATTACAAGGGCTCTATTACATATATCTGGGCCATAGAGGTCATGGAAGACAAGCCGAGAGAAAGGTCTTGAGAAGACACTTTAGAGGTGATCTCTTCAGGGCCACATATGAGACAGAGCTTAATTCTTGCAGAGGAATTAAAGGAAAGGGGCATTCTTACTCTCCTAGTAGCCCACCTCTTCGAGCTTTCTAAGGAGAGAAAAAGCAGGAAGGCCAGAAGCAGAGCCATGCACTAGCCTCTCTCATCCAAGGACATTGCACTGGATCTGGGTAAAAATGGAACAAGGACAAAGGAGATTTTCTGTCCCAGGGGCACTGAGTCATTTCCCTCTTCTTGGCTGCAGGCTGGATTCTCTTAAGGCTGGAAATACACTAGCATTCAGCTGTGTGATTTCAGTCATGCACCAGGGCCCTGGATGGAGAGAGCAGCTATTTCCCTCATGTGACCTCCACATGGTCTTGAGTTTGCATGTTGGTTGTCCAGTACTTTAACAGTCCTTTTGAATCTGTCAGGGCTTACACTAGAGCTAGGCAGGGAGACACGCAGGGTACATACATAGCTTAAGGAAGGCCCTCACTGGAAGGTGGAAGACCTTCCTCACCTTAAGGAAGGTCCTGCCTTTGCTTGGACTTGAGAGTGTTGGACCTCCTTAAAGTCTGCACCCTAGCTGCCTTGGTTGGCATCCTAGCCTTGCCCCAGGTGTAACACTGTCTGCTGAGTATTGGAATGATGGGTGCTTTTCCATTTGGGGTTAACAATACAATGATGAGCTAATAATTGCCTTTCAAAACTTTTATGGGAACACACTGTGGAGTCTGGAGATAGGGAGCTACTGTCCTCTAGTGGGCAGAAACAGTGCTGCGTAACATCAGAAAAGGACAGGACCAGACTGCTGAGTCCCATGGCCCAAGCCTGCAGTCCTAGCTTCTAGGTAGGCTGTGGCAGGGGGATTGCTGGAGTCCATCAATTCTGGGATGTCATGTGCTATATATACTAATTGAATGTCCCCCATAAAACCTGATACCAGTGTGACCTTCTTGGAGCAGAGGATCATCAGGTTGCCCAAAAGGGCTGAACCAGCCCAAGTAGAGCAAAAGCACAGTATATCCTCACAACAAATGATTATTTGACCCAAACCATCAATGGTACCAACACTAAGAAGCCCTGTCATAGTTGAAAGAGTATGGAAAGACTGGGGATTTATGACTCAAGTCAGAATAAAACTCTCACATATGAAGCCAGATTCAACTTCACATGTGGCAAGATAAGAATTACCGCATGAGGAAGTTAAAGACGCCATATGATAAAGCAAGACAAAGGTGTCAAGCAAGAAAGATTTCAAAGATAAAGACACGAAAATAAGCCTTTTGGATGTTTTCTGTGGAGCAGGTGAAGGCAGTGTGTAGAAGTGGTGTGTGTTGAGTGGTGGGAACCGGGAGACAAGTCCCGGAGGTGTCTGGGATGTCTGCTAAGCACACCCCTGGGGCTCTGTGCACCTCTACCATCATCGTCTCTCTTTTTCCACACAGGGTGCAGATATTAATGCAAGGGGACAATGGAAGACCTTGCCAGCACCTCTTGAGCACATTAACCTTCATGTCCGTGGGGGCTACATCCTGCCCTGGCAGGAGCCTGCCATGAACACCCATCTGAGGTGAATGGGGGAAGCTGGGGTTCTGTCTCACATTGTAATGAGCTTAGTCATGTGTGGGGAAGGCTCCTCATCCCTTCAGTATCACTCTGAAGTCTGAAAACATTTTCCCTGATTTTTTTTTTTTTTGCAGTTTTGTTGAACCTCTTAAACACTATGATCTCTGGAGATATTTGTTTTAGATTGTTTTAGATTGAAGTGTGTGAAATTACAGGTGTAAGAAGTGACATTTATAATAGAAGTTAAAATGGGGTAGTCATAATTCATATTTTTGGAACCTTCCTTTTTCCCTTAAAAATAAACCATTGCTGGAAAAATTTAACCATGTGGCAACTGATACCTGAGGTTGCTTTACCTTGAAAAAATTTAAATGCCCTTGACATAAGTTTATATGTCAGCCATCAGTTGCTAACATCAAGCAAATGCTTGCTGCATGCCTAGGGCTATGTCAATATTAAGAACTTCATTGCATGAGTTTCTATTTTTCATTATCAAAGAGAAACAAAATTGCTTGAGTTGAGTATCACCACCATCTCCATTCCCCAGATGAGGAAGTGGAGGCTTTATTGAGTTATGGGTCACCGAGTCACAGGCCCAGGAAGAAGATGGCAATCCATGTGGGCTTGATACAATGCCTCAAAACTTCACCCATTTGTCCTCTGTTTTAGGCATTGGGTCATGAAAGAGGTTTCCAGCCTTAGAAAAAGGGAAAGAAGGAAACCAGTTGTGTGCTTTTAATTTAAGAGGCTTACTGGAAAATTCCCCTTGATGCTTTGAAGTCATTCACTTAGGATGTGTGTTGGTCCAGCCTTCTCTGTGTACATAGCGTCATTCACTTAGGGCATGCAGTGGTCCAGCTTTTTCTGTATGCATACAGAGCTGCCTCTCAGGGTTTTCCAATATGACGACCCTCTCTAACCCTCAGGAAGCACTTCATTTTGCTCCTTTGTTTCTGTGAAACCTGTTGCCTTGTGACAGTGACTGTGTCTTTAGCTAATGCCTCTCTCCTTTCCCACCACAGCCGTCGGAAGCTGATGGGCCTCAAAGTTGCCTTGGATGATGAGGGGAATGCTGAGGGATGGCTCTTCTGGGATGACGGGCAAAGCATTAGTGAGTAGGGGCTGGCTGGGAGTCCTGGCCACACCGTGGGTGGGGTCTTGATTATTGTAGATTACTGTTTTCTGGCTGAGATAAACTTTCATGAGATTTATGTGTATTTCCAACTACCTGATGAGTTGTTCCAGAAAGACAATGCTACATGTGATGCTTATGTGAGGGACTTTCCACCAGGGGTTTATGGGAGCTGGTGACCTCTTAGGAGGAGGACGACACAAGCACTTTTTAGGACACAGTAGAACTTGTGTTCTACAGGCACAGATTCCAGTGAATACTCTAAACGTCACAAGGGCAGCTGAGGAATGAAGTTTATTTTATGTAATTTATATGCATTTAAATTTGCATAGTTAATTTTTATGGTGCCTTCTGCTGTGGGTAGCACAGTTCTAGAAGAAGTCAATGCTTCCATGAGTAGTGGGGAGTGAAGGAGAAAAGAGGCCAGCACCGGAAAGGAAGAGGAAGCCCTGAGCAGAGCTGGTCACCAACAAGCTGCTTCTTACACGCACGCATGCACGCACATACACACACACACACACACACACACACATACATGCATACACACATACACACACACACACTAAGGCACATGTACACACACACACACACACACACACACACACGCACACCACCCACATACCCACCCCCCACACACACACCACTCCCCCACCCCCCACACACATACACACACACACATACACACATGCACACACACACACAAACACACACACACACACCACTATGCTGCCATTTACCACACACACACACCACACACCACACACACACACACACACACACACAACTGCCAAACACCATGCTTTCCCAGAATTTTTTTTTTTAAGTTTTCTGGAGATCACATTAAAAGTACCCATTACCACTCAAGATAAAGCAAGGCAGTGGTCAGTGTATTTGCATGTGTGGGTGCATGCTTTTAATAGAAAAGAATCTGGAATTCTGAGGTGACTGGGGAGATGGTGGGGCTAGCAGACTATGAGAAGAGGAGGCTTATGGTAGGGTTAGGAGGTTTTTCTATGAGGTAGCTATCCTACAAGTGAGTCTACATGCTCATTTCAGACATTTTTATCCGATTGGGAATGGTGAGAGCCTGACTGGTTTCCATAGAGAGAACTAACATTGCAAAATCGAACTCATTGTAATGGAGAGAAATGAAAGGAAAATAACCCCAGGTCTCAGCTAAGACACCTCAGCAATTAGAAGTTTGTCACACAGGCCCAGCTCATGTCTGCCCCTTTGTCTGTTTGCAGATATCACAAGCAGATACTACTTGGCCAGGTTTTCTGTCAGTGAGGTAAGTGTGACCGACACCGTGAAAGGAGAATGGGTTTCTGCTGTCTTGGTAGGACATCGGTTCTTGTCCTTCCTGGAATTTCTTCATTGCTTATTTTTCTTTTCCTGCTGACCTCAGGGGAATTTCCAAAGTTCCCAGCAACCACTTTTGATTGAACCTATCTGTGTCTCATCAGTGGCTGTTTCCAGTGTGCCATTTGTGGGTGGATAATCTTTCTGTGTAATCAGGTTCTCCTTCCTATGCTGTCTTTCAATACTGTGCACGTGTTGTGACCTTTCCATGTGTAGAATGTACTTTTCTTGATACCTGAGACTTGTAACTTATAGTACTCAAGGCTATCCTGGAGACCTGGCTGGTGGTGGCCCGTGCAAAGTGGGTGGGATGGGGCACTAGGGTGCTGAGGTCATGGTTTTTACTATCTGAGAATGTAAGATACTGACTTAGGCTGTCTCATTTTGTAATTTACATTTCTGCCTAAAACAAAATTGAACTATTTTGATATTTGTTTCTTTCTGTTTTATTTTCAATTTGACAGAACACATTGTGGAGACATGAAATTTTTAACAATTACATCACTGGCACATCTCCTGTGTACCTAGGCTACATTGAAATCTGGGGATTGGGCACTGTTTCCCCTAATAGTGTGAAGATCTTTTGGAACAGCAAGAATGAAATAGTCCCTGCTGACTACAACACCCAAAGCCAGGTTTGTAACTACTGGAAAGCCCAGTGCTATTTTCCAACCCTGGAATGCTTTGTGAAATCCTCTACAACTCCCTCCCACCCTCGGGAAGGTAGCCACTGTGTTCAGTGTCAGCTGTGGGCAGTGTGGAGACAAAGCAAAATCCATGGCTTATCATTTGGAGTTGAAAATCTGGTTGCTTACTTTCTATATCTACCCTCTTGTCCGAAAGCCAAAGTGATACCTGTCTCTCATTCTGTCTCAGAAACCAAATTCTCAAACAGCTTGAACTGCTCTATTTTGTCAAATGTCAAGCACTATCGACGACTTTAAAACGAGTTGGTCTCCTGCCTAAAGTGCTGTAGAGAAGGAGCAACAAAGATGAAACAATGGAACAACTCTTTTTTTCTCCTTCATTTCTCCCCCCAGTAAATGTATAGGAAGCTCCTGGAAATTTCCATACCCATAGAGTTTTATCTCAATATTTTAAATGACACTACAGATTACAATGTTAGATAGAGAAACACAATTTCTCTGTATCAAAGTAAATTTGAATGTAAATATGTATGTAAAATTCCTTAACCTCAGCCTGGTGGTGGTGGTGCATGCCTTTAGTCCCAGCACTCAGGAGGTAGAGGAAGGAGGATGTCTGAGTTCCAGGCCAGCCTGGCCTACAGAGTGAGTGCCAGGATAGGCTCCAAAGCTACAGAGAAACCCTGTCTCGAAAAACAAAAACAAAAACAAAAACAAAACAAAACAAAAATTCCTTAACCTCATGAGTTGGAGATTAGTATCACTTTTTAGTTGGTTCTTTGAGAATTTCATACTATTGACCCCTTCCCCCAGCTTCTCACAGATCTACTCAACCTTCACCCCCCACCCAACTTTTGGGTCCTGTGGAATGTATGTGTGTGTGTGTGTGTGTGTGTGTGTGTATGTATGTATGTATCTGTCTGTCTGTCTACCTACCTCAACGTGTGCTTCCTACATTTTCTTGCACATGTGGCCTTCCATTGGAGCCTGGTGAACTTAACATTTTATTAATTTTCATGTCCATCCCTTTCCCCTATTCTGCCCACATTCTACTATATCTCCTTAAACATTCAACTTCATGTTCTTTTTTTTTTCACTCTTTTTTTTTTTTTAGCCCATTGAGTCTAGTTTGTGTTGGCCAACTACTCCTGGGCATTGAGTCTGGCCAGGACTTTGGGCAATATACCCAAGGTCACATCATTAAAAAAAGCTGACTTTTCCTCTCCCTGTAGCAACCAAATGCCAGTAGCTCCTCAGCTAGGCATGGGACTTCATGCCTACCCTTTCTTCTCTGCACTGAGACATTTTGATTGGCTTAAGCATGTGCTGGTCTCGTGTAAGTTGTTGCAGTGGCTATGAGTTCATATATACCTGCCCCACAGTGTCTTAGGGTTTCTATTGCAGTGAGAAAACACAATGACCAAAAGAAACTTGATTAGGAAAGAGTTTATTTCAGTACACAACTCTCAGGTCATACTCCATCATAGAGGGAAGAAAGGAACTGGCTTGTTCCTCCTGGGTGACTCAGTCTGCTTTTTCATGGAACTTACAACCACCTACCAAGGGGTGGCACTGCCTGTAAAGGGCTGGGTCCTCATCCATTAGTCATTAATCAAGAAAATGTTCCATGGACTTATCCAAAGGCCAGTTTGGTGGAGATATTTTCTTAACTGAAGTTCCCTCCTCTTAGGTAACTTTATTTTGTGCCAAGTTGGCAAAAAAAAAAAAAAAAACAAAACAAAAAAACTAGCCAGCATGCATGGTTTCCTGACAATCATCTTCCACTTTTGGTTCTTAACAACTTCTTGCCCACCCACCTATTCCAGATAGACTCCTGAACCTTGAGTGGAGGGCTGTGATATAGACATCCCATTAGGACTGAACTTTGGAAGTCTCTTATTCTCTGCTCAGTGATCAGCTGTGGGTATCTGTGTTTATTGCTCTCTCCTTCAAGAGGTTTTTCTGATGAGGGTTCAATGAAGCACTGATCTATTAATATAGCAAAAGGTCATCAGGAGTCCTCTTGTTGCTATGTGCAGTTGCAGAATAATAGTAGGAGGTTTCCCCCTAGGTCTCATGACCTATCTAACCACAGTTTCTGGACCTCCTTGACAGTGTCAGGTATAGGTTCCATATCATAAAATGGGCCTTAAAATTTTTTTAAAGTGGTTATTTACTCCTATGACATTAATGCCATTATTGTGCTCATGAGCATGTCTTGACAGGCAGGTTATTGTAGCCAGTGATGTTCACAACTGGGTGAAGTTGATGATTGCTTTTCTCTTCAGGTATCATGAGTAGCACTTTCTACCTTCATGAAAGCTCACAGTCTACACTTTTGAAAAAAAAAAACGAATTCATAGGCAGTTACCACAAAAAAAGCACGTATAAGAGGAAAGTGCCATAATATAAAACATTAGAATTCTTATTAAAGAAAGTGGGCATGAAACTATTTAAATGCCTTGAAGTTTGATGTACCTGAGACCTGAGTTTAAGGCCCGATTCTTACGAATTGCATATGACTGATCATAATAACTAGGATGTAGCAACCAACTAGTAGTACTGTCATAAAGATTAAGTACGTGTGAAACACAGCTGTGGTGCCTGTTACATGATTTGGAAAAAATACTAGTAGCATTCCCGACAACCACAGCTAGGACCTGAGTACTCAGCACCTGTTCTCACCTGATCCTGACAGGAACATTGTGGATCACATCCTCTTCAGAGGAGGTACCAGAAGCATAGCTTTTACAGTCCGAAAAGTATACATTACAATATAATATAATACCTTAACTAATATGTAATGTTTATTTTCACGTTTTATATATTTGGACTGGGATATTTTTATTATTTTGTGCCTTAATATATTGTTATTCAAAATAGATACGTATGATGCAGATCAGTTAAGACAGTTCTTCTTTCCTACCAAGGGTGCTCTGATTCAACATTTCTTAAAAATCCTAGGGATTCAATCCAGGGCTTTGTGAATGCTGTGCAGGCAGTTATGGACTGAGTCTCAATACAAATATGTGGCCACCCAAAATACTACCTGCATGTTGTCCCATGAGGTCTGCTACCGACCTTACAAATAAAATAAATTATGAAATCAAATGCCAAAACCTGACACTCCTAGATATGACAAAATACTGATTTTAAAATATTTGCAGTGTAGTTATATCCTACATTGATTAAAGTAAACAGATCTCAAGAATGAAAAACAGTCTAGTGCTTTTGTCTGAAGTTTTGTCTCAAGTCACTAAACACATATTAGACAAGTTTCTAACCCAATTTATGCCTTGATCTTATGACTTGTTCCTTTCTGAAACACCGTTTGGATGGTTTGCAGTCTATATGTTCACAATCAGTGTTAGCAATGATGTTTCCACTTATGTAGACAACAGCAATCATGCTGGGATACATGTCCAGCTTGAGTAATTTTACAATTGCTGATTACAAGCATTCTCTCATCCTATCAAAGTTAAGATTAGAACCTTAGGATTTCAGTACCAGCATCTGCCACACTGTGGTAAATGGGAGCACTTCTTCCCATGATTCTCTCTCTCTCTCTCTCTCTCTCTCTCTCTCTCTCTCTCTCTGTGTGTGTGTGTGTGTGTGTTTGTGTGAGGGTACTAAATATGAATGCTTTCTGATTTCTAGGCCTGAGGAAAAGTTTTTCTTCAGTTTTATAATTTTAAAATGTCTCTCTCTTTATTCTGTGGTTTTCTTGTCAACCACCTTCATAAAGGTCTCTTAAAGGACTTTGCCCTATTCTGTTGTGAACTGATTTATGAATGGTCAAAGCTTGCTTACTGATGAAGCCTCTCAAAAGTGTTTGCCCATAAGAAGCAGGGATATTAGACTTCCCAGGCAATGGGTGAGTTCTTTGAGGAGACAGCAGAAGATGGAGTTTCAGTTTGCCTGTGCACTTGTTCTCAGTGGTTGTAAACTGAATCATTGAGAGCCCATTCCTGTCACAGAATAATTGTTCTACACTAAGGATTGGGAAACACCCTCCACACCTGACAGTAAAACAGTAGTTGGCATTAAGGCCATGTGGCTCAGGGACTTACACCCTGTTCATTTGTGTACAGGAAAATCTAGACAACAAATCTCAATATATTTCTTGTTGTTTGTTCCAACAGGTACTAAAAGTTAATGTGACTACCAAAGGAATTGGCCTGCATCGTTTTGAGGCAATGACATGGAACTCTTCATAAATTTTTAGATCAGGATACTACAAACAGATTTAAACTATTTATACTTCATAATTACATAATTGCTATGTATCACCAATTGTTTCATTCCCAGTATGGCTAGAATATTTTGTGGAGTTTTTAATGTATGTACATGGCTCCCAAAGATAGTATCTCTGGGTCACTTTAATGTATCTATGTAATTAGTATGGTATATATGATTCATTATATGAAATTCATTGAAGATGTGAAGATGAAATAGATCCATGTTGAAGCATATGTTTGTGTGCAAGGGATTCCAATGTCCTAAAGATAAAATAGGAATCTTGTTATGGCAGCCCCTGTGTGCAGCTAAGCAAAACCTTAACACTTAGGCAGAAGGAACTTCTGCAAGTTGGTATAGGGGACAGAGACAGATATGCTGGGAGTGTGGTGGAGGAGGAAGTAAAAGAACATGGTAAAGGCTCTGGGAAGATGTGAGGTGACGAGAGGCGAGAGCGTGAGCAAGAGTCATGCTAACAGTAGCCTTGTGTGTGGGGGGGAAAGGAGAGTCAACTCATTTGAAAGAGAAGAAGGGCTTGGGGACATGTTTAAAGCACACCAAGGTGATGCGAAGGGGATTTAAGTAGGTAGAGCTGAAGGAAGAAGTCAGATATACAAAATCAGATGTGTCATAGAAGTGAGCTTTGAAGGGTATAAATCTTATTTTTTGACCATATCTCATGTACATAACAACAGTTCATACAAGCATACATGATTCATATGCCACAGAAAAATAAAGCAAGTGAATTTATAAGAGATTCTCAATGTTGTGATGTTTGTTTGTGGGGACCTCACAGAGGGGTCAGGTTTCCTGGAGTTCAGCAGACTCTTGTGAACTTGTCTCTTTTGTTCCTGATGGCATCGGAGTGCCCGAAGTCCAGTCCAGGAATGGATGGAATATGGTTTCTAATCAGTCACCTTCCCCGACATCTCTGTAATGACTCTCTCACAAGCTTTAGATATTGTTTAAGAATCATAGCAGTTTCTGTACTTGGTACAAATCAACTCTGACAAAAAAAAAAAACAAAACAAAACAAGAGTTGCAACTATATTGATTAAAACACTAGATAAAATGTGTATAAAGAAATATGAATCTAGGCTGTCAAGATGACTCAGTAGGTAAAGACTCTTGCCACACAAGCCTGATCTGAATTCAATCTTCAATAACCATAAAAGTGGCATGAGTAAAAAGACTCCACAAGGTTGTCCTCTGAACTCCACATGTATGCCATGGCAAACATGACCCCCTACAAAATAGTAAATAATAATGAAAAACTAAATAAGAAGAAATTATGTAGAATGCTCAATGGGGATGTTTAGTCTTAGAATTTTGAAAATACAGTGTTTCAGTTGGGTGTGTCTACTTCTCACATCTTCCCCTTTGTACTGGAAAGCCATTCTGCTTGCTGTATGCATGCACAGGTATCTATTCCTGTCGCATTGCACCAGACTGTCATTCAGTTGACTTAATATTCTGATTATTAAATGAGGCATCATGCATGAGGGCCTGAGATAACTAGGGAACTAGTGACATGTGGGCAAGCAGCCATAAGAATCATTTGGTTTAAAAGGCAAAAACAAAAACCCCGATTAACTAACTCCCTTTGATTAATGCAAGGAGGCTACAAGGAAATGACTTACTTAATATTTTAGAAATGTCCTGTGTTGCCAACAGGTATACATGGACATATGTTGACTCTTGTTGTTCTTAGTCAGTACTTTCCCGGCTGGACAATGCACGGGCCCCACTGATGACCTATGGGATGCTTCCTAACATTTTCAAACTCTAGAAGGATGTTTTAAAATGCATATAGTAAAATGTCAACAACGACAAAGGAAACATAAAAATGTGCAGAGTATTCCAAATGGCGATGTCTCCTGTCTCTTTAACTCACTTTTGGCTTTTCAAATACTGTATAGACTTGTCAGATACAACATAATACTGAGATATTTAAGTGCAATATGGAGTAACCACGGAGAACCAGCTACAACTTTCACAATGTTACATCTTTCTCATTCTTTGTGGTGGCAACATTTAAAATCTGTTCTCAGAAATGTTTAAGTATAAAGTGTATATTTGGCTCCTTAGTACTCTCCCTACAAGGACTGCAAAGTTTCTCTCTCAAATTAGAGATGTTCTCAGCAGCTCTGGAAAACATCAGGGAAGAAGCTGGGTTTGTGATTTACTTGGTTTCTGTCTAGAAAGCTGCTGATCTCTGAGTGCAAGTCTGTAGCCAGTCCTCCCAATACAGGGATCGGAGTCACGAGTCAGGGCACTTTATGCTTCTTTCATTTAAGTGAGGAACAATCTCAACACGGTGTCAGGAGACTTAGTTAAATCACTTTGTCTTTCTGAAACAAATTTCATTTTCAAAATGGGGGTGAGACCTATGAAGTTGTACAAAACTCCTTCTTGTTCCTTAGGGTAGAGTGAAGATAACAAGATACATTCACAGTGTTTTACATTCCCTACCAATTTCAATTGTGTTATATATTATATATAATCATATCTATCTATCAATCCATAAGTATTTATCTTAGTTATTTTTTCTATTGTTATGACAGAACACCATGACCAAGGCAACTTATAGAAGAAAGTATTTAATCTGGTCCATAGGCATGGAGAGAGAGAGAGAGAGAGAGAGAGAGAGAGAGAGAGAGAGA